TCGATTCAGTTGTTTCATTTTTAAATCAAAATAATTAGTTTTGTTGCATTTGAAATTTTTTTTTTTTTTTAAGAACACAATCTTACTAATCTATGTATCTGACGTCGCGTACACCATATCATGTTACAAGGCATCTCTAGGTAAAACAAATATTATAATAAATTAATAACACTACCTATGACTTGTCTACAATACTGTAATAAAAGTAACTTATCCTTCTTATTCATAAAAACTTAAAGCTATTTGAGTGTTTTGTCACTTTCATTCAAATTGAGAATTTAGTCCGAAAAAAAAAAACAAAACACTTTTCTTTTCATGAATAAGGTCGTATATCTTAATCCGACTCAGATAAGACATGTATTCCAAATTTTAAAATGATTGTCGGAGCTGTTAACACGACAAAAGGTAGCAAACGAACAAACGTAGACACCAACCACTATTATTACACATTAAATTCTAATCTATTTTATATTATAAAAAAAAGTACACTGCAAACATCCCGTATTATAAACTGTGGCCTGTATTCGTAAACTGTATTAAATACGTCGCGTATTCGTTGATGTAGATTAATATTCTACGCTAAATTGTCGAATACTACAGTTACCTCATGTAGAAACTTAACAGTAATATACTGTCGTAAATTGTTTTTATTTTTATACAACTTAGAATGGCAAACAAGCTGACGGCCCACCTGATGGATAGTGGTAACCGTCGCCTTTAGACATGAGCAGTACCATGGACATAACAGAGTATACTGTTTCGCCCATGATACCCTCCATGCTTTCCCATTCCTAAGGACTCAGATGTTATTTCTCTGTATCCTGTAAATTCACGCCATATCCCACCCTTCAAACCGAAACACAGCCATGCAAACACAATTGCTTCACGGTAGAAATTGTCCGTACAAATTCATAGTAGAGCTACAGGTCCTATCGAAACGAAGCGTATTCAGTCGCACGGACAGCGGTATCGCGTCAATTATCTACTTTATATCCGGCGCGATTGAGTAAGTAAGCGTTATTACCCAATCAGTAGTCCCCAATCGGACGGACAAAGTGAGCAAAATAAACCCTCGGCTAGCTGAAACGTTTACGGTAGGCTGGACCCGGGTATAAATGAAATGGACGATTCCTATCGGGTTTTATTGACTGGAGGTTTTAGGGTCCGTCCTTATTTTGTATAAGGATGGAATCGAAATCGTTAGCCATTTATTAGCAATGGAGTTTGACAGCCCCATTGCTAGCAATATGCCTTATTAGGTCAACCTCCACGTGGTTCCCCCTGGAAACCATCGTGAAGAATTCTTGTTGAATTCGTCACGATATAGCCTATCGTATTGACGTGCTTCATATTTACCTATCATCCTTCACTGGTGCCCCGCCAGTCACCCGTCACGGGTGGGGTTACCATTCCATTATCATCCATAAAAAAAAAAACTAATTTATCAGCAGAACGCGACGTGTTATTATAGCTTCAGTAAAGATGTTGAATTTCACTTGAACATTCCTGTACATTATTATTTCCCATTTTAATGATAACATCTTGTGGTAATGATATTTTGATGCCACCATCGATTACTGTAATTATTGTTATTATTTACGGAACGCCATTTACACGCCATTATTATTATATTATTTTAAATAACATTTTAGTATCATATCGTATCAATCGTTATCTGTCCACTAGTAAACATAGGCTTCCCCCATAAATTATATGGAACGGGAGCGTTTCTTTAAAACAGTTTACCATTAAAGTGATTTTGTAAGTAGTTGCCACGCTTGGCAGGCGGATTGGCAACTGTAGTTTGGCTTTTGGTGATCTTTTAGTGCCACATAGCACATGGTCTCCTCCATTGGATGGGGATTTATAACATTTTAGTAGTTAATTTTAAAGTTTCGCATTGTTTATACATATTCTTAATACACAATCAGGACTTGCATCGCGTTAAGTTCTAATTGTGTATTGAAAAAAAAATATTTTAGTAATTATACACAATTACAAATCTATAAACTAATTATGTAATCTGCTCCCCTAGACAAGTGGTAATTTTTTCTAGAATTTTAGTAGATGCGTTTTCGTTAGCTTTCGCATAAGACGCTAAAAACGTTGCAGTCTTTTTCCATCTCATGCACTTAGCGTTAATGTATTTATTTGCTACACGTATGTGTGTGTGGTGCTTTAATAAACGAAAATGAATTCTTAACTATGTTTGCTCTATTGGTATACGCGGGCGGCGTACTAGTGAGGGATGATAGGTGAAAGTGAAGTCGAGTTATTTGGTCCATCGTCAATAATTCTCCAACATTTAACCAAGATGGTTTTCAGAGAGGACCGTATAGAGGTCGACTTGATGGGTATATACCCGTATTTAATTTAATGTAATTAGCAATAGAACCGTTAGTGTCCATCACTACAATTCTTTCCCTTCCTGTCTGAGGGACAATAATAGATCTATACTCTAATTTCTTCTATATTTAATTACAATTAATAATAATCTTTCAATTTCTTACTTTAAAATATACGAATATAGTTTATGATCATTTATTAATTCTACTATACATTTTTCGTGCATCAATATCCTTAAGAGTGAAGGTCGTGACCTCAAACAGGTATCATTTTCTTACGAATAATGTTCCCCCATTTGTTCCTGTCTCCGACGACCTTAAAAGTATCATTTACCTTGACAAGACTGTTGCGTATTTGAATGAACTAATTTTGGTAGGATACTTACTATGTTCTTCTACTTATGTATTATTACGGATCTTTTTTGTATAGTATTTATGCACATACAAATAATAAATTTCGATGCACAAAAAAATGCTAACTTTAATCGTGCCAAAACTAATAATTTTGATTTAAAAACCTACGGGATCGATTTTGGTAAAATTTCCATAGGATTGTTTTGAAAGTTTGTCCTTTTTAGATTTTAAAAGAATTTGCTAAATCGGTTTATAAATGACGAAGTTCTGGGGTAATAAACATAAAAAATACAATCGAGTTGAGAACCTCATTCTTTTTTTAAGTCGGTTGAAAAGTACAGGCTATTTTTGATCTCGGTTACATGGACGAAGTCGTGGTTAAAAAATACCTATGCAAAAATCAATTATAACATTTGTGGAATTGAACAACTTTTCTAAAAATTTACATGTATTTAATGCATAATATTTGTATGGTCGTGTGATTCTGGCATAGATAGACCACCCCTTTCTTTCCTGTAGGTGTTGTAAGAGGCTACTTAGAGAGGACGAGAGATGGGCAGCAGCATCCCTCTTAAAACATCTCTAAAGCCCGACTGCGGTTGCTAATCCGCCTGCCAAACGTGGTAACTACTAGACCCCCCAAGGAGACTTATGTTTTGCAATGAACAGTTAAAAGCTGATATGATGATGTCGATGATTATATGTATTTAAATCTACCTATCTTATCATTTCTTATTAAGCTCTCTGTAAGTAGCATAAAACAATGTCGCTCAATGCTCTTATCTGTCTATTTGTCCAAGGTTTTGCTACTGAACTATGTACATTATATAAACATTAATATTAACTTTATTTATGTATATATTTTATTGAAATTTTCTCCATTCATGTGATATGTATATTAATAAACGACACTTCTAAAGATAGAAAGAATAATATATTAAAAAAAACTTTAAGATATAATCTTAGGATATAATATATAATATACCAGACCCCTTCAATTTTATTCAGCAATAAAATATTATGTTACCTTCATTTCTTACCCAAAGAAAGTAGGCCAATGTGTTTCCAGAGTATGCGGTACCTTTGACGCAACGTGTATTCTGAACGACTTGATGCACTGTAATAAATGGAATATAACATTCATCTTTATTGTGGACTTCATGACGGCAGCATAAAATAAATATAGCTATCATAAACTATTTTTTTTTAATAATAATTTGTATTATTAAATTATGTATGATAAAAAAAACTGCTTTTTTGTTACTACCACTTATCGATTCTGAAGTCTATAAAGAATCTACGTATCTATAAAAATAAAATTTTAATTTATGTTTTACGATTATATTATGTTACGGACAACCAAGATTTTTTAAAGTCTTTATTAAAATATGAAAATCATATTGAAATTAGCTATTTCGTGATTAAAACATTTCCGAAACAGGTTTAAATTCACGGTAACTTTGACACAAATCTCTTGTTAACCTTATTTGTAGATACTGCTTCTTAAAATATTATTATAATTTTGCTGAAATAACAAATTGAAATTTTAGAGTTCATATAATATACAGAGTAAAATTTTAATCGATCATCTTTTTCAACTGACCTTAAAAATTCTTTGTTTAAAAGAAAAAAAATCTTTTTTACTTGGAATAATATATTTACAGATTGGTCCTATGGGACCAAACTATACTAAAACGATTTGATATTTCTATGGAAATATTATCAAATCGGTTCAGTAGTTCCCTTTCCAATTCCTTTTTACTGATACTTATAAAATGATGGCGTGTAGTGTAGTATGTTTGTATGCGTTAAGTATGGGTGTATGGTATGAATGTGTGTGTGAACTATGTTAAGATTAAATAATTATATTCCTTTATTTATCTTTATGAACAATATAGCATAATTAACTACAACAATTGGTTTTGTTATAATTGAACTTGTTTTTTTTTGTACATGTTTTGTAACATTTCTCAAAGAAATATGACAACAAAAAAATTTAAGTCTCCTATATGGACACGACGGATGGACGCATAGTGTCACTATGGAAGAATCAAGGCTCGAAATTTTTATTACAATTTTTATATTTCTTTAGGAAAAATGTTTGGTTTCACTGGATGAACATTCTCTTTCGATTTCACTCTATATTTAACTTTAGATTTACAATTAATATTATATGTATAAGTAAATTAAAGAAGTGAAAATAAAAACTGCTATTTATAACGTCACCTGCCACTTAATGCTTACTAATATTGTTTAACAGTCACACACGCATACCGTGCTAAAAACGTACTAATTTTACAGTAAAATGAAACACTTCCTCCACCGCTGCGACCGCGCCATGATTTACATATTCATCGCGAGCTCGTATTTCCCCTGGCTGACGGTGGGCACGCTCTCCTGCTGGATGCTAAGGGAGCTCCGCTGGGCGATCTGGCTGCTCGCGGTCCTCGGCATCACCTATCAGCAGATCTTCCACGAGAGATACAAGATGCTGGAACTGTTGCTCTACTTGGTCATGGGGCTAGGGCCCGCGGCGATCATACTCACATCAAATGTACGTCCTAGAGCACCGATTTAATACTATACCTTAGTGTTGCATGAGCTTGTTGTTGTTTTGTATGTAAAAAAGTATTCAATCCTACTTAAAACATAATGTACTCGATGTTTACTGGTAACCAACATCGTAGCTTCAGTTAAAACATGTTCTGTAATGGTATTTTTCTACATGCACGCCACTATACCGATGCTGCGGAATAATAGCACTTATATATTTTTCTATTCTGTTTTGTTTTTATATATATTCTTTTTTTTTTTTTTTTAGTATTAACTTCGGTGTTTTTCTTTTTTTTATTATTATGTATTTAAGCGCTTTCAAATCTTTGGGGGCGCTACATCTACGGGTCTACCATGAAATGAAATTCCGAAATTTCGGACTCAATTTCGTGTTTTTGTTTATACCAAAATCAGACCAATAAATGGAGTTTAACATTTCGTTCGTCCTACATCCTATCATGAAAGTCCAAAGGAACAATATTTTAACATTTTTAATATTTACAAACGGCATGTATTATGTAATTTTAAGATCAAATTTCTGTTTCGTTTGGCTCCGAAATTTCGAAAAACATTTCATGGTAAGCCCTCTGTTTACATAAATATATATTGCTTTCAGGTTATACTAACCTATCTGGAGTATATTTCTTTCCTTACATCTCTTGCTTCTTGCACTTTTATAACTCATTTCATGCGTACGTTAGTTTTAAAGTCTTGACTTTTCTCTGAATTCATTACATTATAGTAAAAAATGACTATTTCCAAAAATATCTTCTTTTAATTCCGGTTCATAGATCTCTCTGCATAGAAGAATTTTATACCATTACCACGCTGATCAGTAGCTTGGTATTAGGTTTAATTTCAGCTTTTTTTTTCACTGATATATTGTACGTGAATAAGTAGTAATAAAAAAGGTTGGATTATGTGTCTCATAAATCCAATGTACCTTACAGCATGGGAGACAACAGCGAATAAAACTTCACGATAAGTGAAATTAATGTTCCCTTTTTCATGGTTCATGTAGAAATGTTTTCTATTCGTACTCTTTAAGTTATATCACTTATTCATTTTTAATGTAAGCTGTATATTTTACACATCCTTCGGATTTGCTGATTTCGACTAACACCTCCATTTTGCATGACGTAATTAGTTAGAATTTTCTATATCATTAGAATTACGTAAGGCAATGGCAACGCATGGAGAGTATGGGTTATGTCCATGATACTGCTCATGTTTATAGGCGACGGTTACCACTTTCCATTATGTGGGCCGTTAGCTTGTTTGTCATTCTGTTGCATAAAAAAAAAATAAGTTTTATAACAATTAGGTAAATACTTATAAATACTATTGTTTTTTTTTAATTTACAAAACCTTTTACTAAAATTTTACACATATTTCAATACAATCAAAAATGTATGTACTTGAGTAATCTTAATTTATATCCGAAGTCTATTTTGGTCTGACAGTCTCCGTTTATCTTATCACCAGTAATTAACATTTCATTCTTAATATCTTAATCTTGTTAACAATATCCATATATTTATATACCTACAACAAATAGTAATTGTCATTGACAGGTATAATACTACAATTAATTATACAGCTTATCGCCCTTTGGGATAAATAATAAATACCTAATTACTCTCTTACTTACTCCTATTAATACAGTAAATCGGCTTTTTATATGCTATTTCCATAAACAAAAGAGTTTAGATATCTGTTTCTCTTGTATGTAGCGTCTGGTCTTTTTTTCTTAACATTTTAAAAAAAGAACTTTATATGAAATTAAATTGAAATAAGATTTGGTTACTAAGCTATGGTTATTTTTCTTCGCAGTCTGTATTGACGTCACTGCAAGCATTGTTATGACATTGGCAGACAGTTATTATACTTATGTTGGTATTACTTAAATGTCAGGTCATTCCGCAATACGCATGATATAACTATGTTTATAGGTAGGTAGTAGCAAAATCTTATTATACCCTGATCCTGTAGGAAAATTGGAAAATTCCATTTTCCTACAGGAATTCCAACAGGATTTATTTATTTATACTTTATTGTATAGACTAATAATACATTAAGAAATACGTCAGTGGAAAGAAAATATGCGACGAGCTTAACTCTGCAAGAGTTCCCTTACAGCAAAACCAAAGTGAAAAGGAGCATTAATGTCAGGGTAGAGTAATTATTATTTTGAAATTTTAAGAATGTAAATTATCAAGTTTTATTTTTAATTTGTAATTACCGTGTGGTATGTGGCTTTATACGTCGTATATCCCTAAAACAAATTTGGTATAGATACAAGAATAAAAATTCAATGATAATCCTATATGTGCTTTTTCTATTCTTATTTTAAGCCACCAAATAACGTTGTTTACCTTGGTCTGCTTGTAGTAAATAATAAATTACATCGGAATACTAGACTCGGCTGCTACCATCTACTATAAATTATTTATTTATTTTCCACTACAATGGTAATGTACCGTGTAGGTATAAGACGTTAATATTAATCTCTTAGAGCTTGCAAGACGAGGATACTATTCCTTAGCATAATATTTTTATTATTATAATAGAATTACATGGCATATATCACATGAGTGGCAAGCTGGAAATCTAGCAGATATTTTTGTCATCCGTGAATATAAAAAAAATCATCATCGTAGACGGTTTTTATAAAATTAAATTATCTTTTTTAACCGACTTCAAAAAAGGAGGAGGTTTCTTAATTAGACCGTATATACGCTTTTTATTTATTAAATCTGTCTTCCTCTTCCTATATCTGAAATCTTACTGATATAAAAAAAAATACAATTAGACGATGTCTGTACTCAGAATATATTTAAGAATATTATGAGAGGTCTTATATATGACTTATAGAAGCCAAAACAATTATTATTAGAAATTTTGTCTGATAGTTTGCTTTGCATCACGCAAAAACTACAACACTAAATCGGATGCGGTTTTCACAGTTATGTTACTGAAGGTCTAATTTAAAATCTGATTTAATTTAATCTTGATACGCCATCTAAAAATAGTCTATTGATTTTCCTACTTCAGAAACTACACGTACGAAGCAGCGGGCAAAAAGCTAGTTAAATATGATTTGATATTTTTTTTTCTAAAAATCTTGTCAAGCGTAGCGTTATCTATTGGTGGACCATAGATCACTTTCAATATACTTTTTCTTTTCCACATACAAATATTTATCATATACGAGTATACTGGTCTTAACCAAGCTGTGATAAATACAGAACAATTCCGTGATTTCGAAATGTGTTTGCCCCGTCATGTCGATAGATAACGCTTAAATGTTTTCTTACATGTATATTTACATGTTGTGTAACAACCAACACGCAGTAATATTTAATATCTAATTAGGCTAACCGACAATAATTACCGCTTGAATATGTATATTGCTATTGTATTCACATTGTTGACTCAAAAGGGCTGCTCTATTTGATACATTTGTTTTTCTAAATAAGTCGATATTTTAATGTCTACGGATAATGTGTTCGGTTAATTTAATGTATTTTAACCGATATCGAAAAGAAGGTTCTAAATCTTAAGAATTAATTTTAAAGATTATTTTAGTGATTTTCAAAAGGAGAAGGATTTCCGTATTTTTTTTTGTACGTTACGCAATGTCTTTAAAGAATTCTAAACCTATTTTTATAATCGATAGGGTTTTCTCACATTCATTGTCATTCGTTAATTCCATACACATTTAATAAAAAAAAGTAGTTATTTTTTACTTTTTTTACAAGATTATGTTGTTAATTCGATTATCAACCAATTTCGATAAATTCTCTATCGTAAGGGTTTCCATTCTTGTAGGTCTAATATTTTTTTTTTATGGATGATAATAAAATGGTAACTCCGCGTGCGCTACCAGTATAGGCTGACAGGTCACCAGTGAAGTATGATAAGTGAGAATGAAAAGGCAGATCAATTAGTCCTTCGTGATTAATACACCTGGAATTCAGCACGATGGTTTCCAAGGGGGGACATGGAGGTTGACAGGGCTAGCAATGGGACTGGTAGCCCGCATTGCTAACAACCCCCCCCCCCTCCAACCCTATTGGTCCCATATTAGGTAATTTAGTGATTATTGAAGCTGCCGCTTTAGTCTGTTTACCGAAAACTATATTTGTTATTTTATAAAATGTACCTACTTGTAGACACACGTTACGAGTTTTTAATTACAATATTTATATATACCTGCTATATGTCTACGAATCATCTCGTCGTTCATTGTCCTTTCTTATTATTAAATCGCCGTTTTTGCCCAAAAAGCGTACATATAAAAGAATATTGTATTACTTAGTATCATGTTTAGCATTACGAGCGTATCATTTATTCGGCGGACTATTTATTTGTTTTGAGAGTAAAAATAATATTGTATATTCTATACAAGAGAATAAAAAAGAATTCTCAATTTAAGTTGCTTGTTTAACCGTTTCTTTTTTTTTTCTTTAGTTTTTTAGACGCAGTTTAGCATTTTTTTTTTAATTATAAAACCGTAGTAAATGTAAAGGCAGACAAATAAATGGACTTCCCACATTTCATTACTTTCCATAATTTATATCATCAATTTGCAAAAGAAGTCCCAGTCGCAATTCGCCGATGTATTTCTCCAATAATTAGATGGCCAATAGCAGTCCCAATGGTTTCAAGACACGCAACTGAAGGCGCGTTAAAGTACCTATATATCGAAGGATTTATATGTACATACAACCATAGATAAAATAATGACCAGCTATTTCTCACGGCTTTACCTGTGTCAATCAGTATTTAAAACATCATATATGCTAATTTAGATGTCATGAGAGGTGACTAAGGGAACTTAGTGGTCGTGGAATGGCAACGTTCCTTTTAAAACATCACCAAAGTCAATTTGCGGTTGCCAATCGACCTGCCAAGCGTGGCAACTGTTAGCAAAACCCCCCTATTCCCTAGGGGGAAGCCTATGTTCAGCAGTGGACAGTTAACGGGTGGTATGATTTATGATAATAGTAGTATATATTATTTATATTTCATTAACGATATAAAATATATAACTAGTGATAATTAATAATCTGAATACATTTTTAGTTTGAGCACGTTTGGTAGACGTGATTTTTCCCTTAGTGCGTTACGTCACGTTATATGTTTTCTTACATATTTTTTTTTATCTTAAAATCAGAAATGTGTAAAGTGGATGAGATTTAACCCTTAAATACCTGAAGTTTCAAATTTGATACCGGGGTTTGCATTGTTTCATTGGTAAATAAATGTAAATATTTTGATTACCGTAATGCCTAAAGTATCAAAAATGATACCAAATGTATTTTTCAAAAGAAATATATAAAAATATTGTTTTGATTTTTTTACTATTTTTCCCCATTAGTAAACACAGTAAAGGGTACACTTATATATTATATTTTTTAATTTAATTTAAAAAATCAGGCTTTTAAGGGTTAAGCATTTGTTACTCCTCTGCCAGTTCCATAGTGGATCATAAGTCTATCTACCACCTATTTCTTACTGAACTGTACTGTTGAGTTCAGAAGTACAGCACGTTTAAATCAGGAATGGCAATCCATGAAATGTATTCTATAATGACCGTTATTTTCTCAATGTCTATTGGCGACTACTGCCGTCAGCTCATTCAATATTTTAAATAATAGAGAAAATCTACATATTTCTACATGGCTCTTAATAATTAGTCTTAACAGCAGTCTAGCTTTTGAAAAAGGCTACCTAACATAATTTTTTTATTAGAAATTGTGAAATCGAGCGAAATAATTACTTGATTAAAATAAAGAAAGAAATGCTATCAAATTAATTCGTTCGGACATAAATTTTATTTTTAGTTCGATACTTTGCATTAAGGTCTCATTCACATTAAATCCATTAAAGTTGACAATAAGAGAGATAATGATACATCTCTAGAAATGAAAATAGTGACCAATAAATTTGACCATTCATTGTCCTGTATTAAAAATAACCGAGTTTTGCAACCACTTTTTTAGATTTGCTCCCTGAATAAATTTGCTGAATATTCCCGCTGAGCTAGAACTCATTTGTGTGGCTGCACTCCATACTTACATTCTGTTATGGTTTTATTTATGTCATATGAAATGAAATGAATTTATTTTGCTAGAATGTAGGTAATTTTAGATGATAGAGGTTTATATTTCCCGTGTACATTCTGCCTCTATGTCGGCGTGCAAATTTTATCAATATAAGAAATTTATATATATATTCTAAATTATATTTCTTCTCCTTTGTCATACAATATATTATTATTATTTATTACAGTAAACGGAAAATAAAAGCCTGTACAATAGTTGTCGAAATTAATAAAATATTTTAACAAACTGTGATATTAATTAGTGCATAAGAACAGAAGCATCAATGGTATCTCTAGTGTAGGTTATGAAGTGCATTTGTTTTTTTAGCGAAATATTCATTAATGGTATAAAACCCATTACATAACAGCCAATCCTTAATCTTACGTTTAAACACTGTATGAGCTGTTACTTCTCTAATGTAATTTGTTAGATGGTTGTAAACTTAAATAGCCATCTGTTTTGCAGCAATCAAATAAAGGGTGATCTGTCTATCGTTTCCAGCACCAGTTCCCAGCCATGAGCGACCTGATCACAGGCGGGGTGCTGTACCTCATCGGCGTGTTCTTCTTCAAGTCAGACGGCCGCATACCGTTCGCCCACGCCATATGGCACGTATTCGTCGCGCTCGCAGCCACCGTTCACTACCTAGCCATACTCCGCCACTTGTTCCCCGAACTAAAATCGCAATGAAGACTGCCCGATTATCCTATTGAATCTCGATTATTTGAGCTCTCTAACTATTTTTGTATCCTAACTCGACCACAAGGCCACAGTAGAGCGACAACGGGACGATTGTCCGCTACTCGTGACAATTTATGCCTTTGTAAATTCGTTTTCTGTGGCTTTGCCCCCCAGTCGAGTACCTACTCCAACTAGATAGAGAGATGGTTGTATATTTATTTATAGATTTAAAGACTTGAGCTTTTGTCAGTATATTCCATGCTGTGCAATTGAACATTTTACTGGACGCACATAATGTAAATATCAAGTCTGATTACTCATTGGCAATTATTTACAAAATACTCCACAGCGTAACGTTGTAAAGATCTGATATTTATAGAATTTAAATATAATGAAATTATTATTTAATTTTATTTGAAGCAGGAAAATGTGCAATTAATCTTAATGGAAACCTGACGAGAACATTAACAATTATAAATCTAATTAAAATATCATTAAGAGAGTTCATACTGCACGATTGGCAACGTCTATGTTCAAATAATAAAAAAAATATTCCTCAATAATAATTTTGAAATATTGTTATATCAACGAAAAATTAAATATTTTTAAAACGATCACGATAAAAAAATATTAAATAAAAAACTGATACTAAAAAAAAGTTTTATTCAAAAATAAAATGTTAAAAGTTATAAATTATTACTGATATCGTGTAGTTATGTATATTTTGTTATTTGATAATGTATTAAGGCAATAGAATGCCACTGTTTTCATAATATGTAATATTAAAATTAAATTACTTTTAAAAATTGCTAATACAGACGTTGCCACATATTCGTATGTACGCTCTTAATTTGACAGTGGAGTCGATTCTGAGTTGCCTCACCTAATTTATCTCAAACATTTTCATTTGATAGATCGAAAGTATTTATGATACGGATCTATGACAATTGAACCTAAATTGGTTCTAAATAAATTCTGTTATAAATTTAATATATACTTACAATGTTGCTGTAATATCAAACTGCAATTGTGGTTTTAGAGATAGAGATAAGGAATGGCGCTTCAGAATTGACCCCAGCCTTCAGTGACGATAGGATACCACTTTTAACCATTAATAACTTAAATGCGAGGGGCGTGATGTTTTCGTGGACGGCAAGTGACCGCGTCCAGCCAAATATCTAATAAATGTTTGAATTGTGTGTATATTTTGTAAGATATTGTTGAAACTTATTGTATTGTTGTAGTGTACGTAGTCGTATCTCAGAATCTCGAGACCAAACCAACCATTTTTAGAGTACCTATATAAAATATTGGGGTTTTTAGAAAAGTTTATAACTGTAACTATACTTATACGAATCCAGTTTTTTCAGCGAGATCTTTTATACACCTCAATGTGAATTTTTTCCTTAGATTAGTTGGTTATACATTTTAGCGTAGCTAGTACAATGTATCGTCTCGTGTTAATCTAAGACAACATGTTTTCTAAACATCTACAATAGTTCACACGTTCTAGGTCGAGCCGTTCATTCATTATTACGTTATCCACTAGACTTATTTATTCCTAATTAGGTTTTTAAGAATTGCTCAATTGTTCCTGTGCTGACTAGATAATTTTGCTAGACTTCCAAAACCTACCTTCACATCGCTAATATAGAATATCTGTTTTAATTGGCAATTTCGGATATGACAATTAATATAAACTAATTTAGCTCCGACAGCGTCTACGTAAAGAGGATCTTAATAAATCGGAATAAAAAGTAGTTTCATTCCTTCTACTTTTTAAATACTACGTCTATACTAAATTCAATGACAATTGATTTAATCCTTAAGATGCAAAGAAATAACAAACACTGGCATTTTATGACTTTAAAAACAATAAAACATAATACAAGCTCTATTCGTTTGTTCGATGCCGTTTGTTGGGTGTCGTTGGAAACAATGGTGACTGTGTAAAAAGGAGGTCACCACAACAATTCCAATAGTTATATATACAGATAATTCTAATGATGCGTTGCCCTTTAATCTTTCGTAACGGGCGCGACCTTGTGGCAGCTATCGCTTAGTCTCAATGCTCATTGACGACTCATTGTGTATTTTTGTTTATTCGTATAATTATTAACATTAAATGTATGTTTACTTCTACATTAACTACTTTAATCATTATGATTGGATTTACAAAATAGTCAGTTTTACCTTTTTTTACATTTTTTTCTTAATAGATAATTAAAATATTACTGGCTAAATCTTTTTGCATAAGTCGATCTCGAAATTAAACCTGTTTACAGTGATTTGGAAACTGCCATTAAAAAGATATTCTATTTAAGCTTCATTTACCTATACATTGTTAAATTTTATATTCCTTACTTAAGAAGTTATTAACGAAGAATATGAAAAATACAATAACTCTATATGTTAATCGAATGTTTAATTCCCAGTTCTGGCGTGCATTAGGCGATTTTTTTTTTTACAATAATATCGGCAGTTTTTAACAATTTCTAGTCATTTATTTGCTACAAACACTTAGTGTGTATACAGAGATATTACATTTGATGTTTCGACATGGATTAAAACTAAACTTGGTTTGAAAAGAGTGAGTTCTCTTTTTAAACTAAGATTTAAGAATAATTTACATTAATATTTCCTGATTTCGATTCGGTATACCTATTTAAGTTAAACTTATATATCTAATTGGAAATTACGATATACATGTTGGTAATGAGATGTTGATATTTCGAAATATATTCCATCTGTATACACACTACGAGATCTGTAATTGAAAGTAATGTACCTATTCTAATTATAATCTGCAATGTTATATAAATGATTTTTAATAAATAATATTAAGTTGTTATTCTGGTTGATATGTGAATTCATTATGTAAAACTGGTTAGTCAAGGATACCACAGGGTAATTTGGTATAATGCATTGTAAGTGCACAAAACACGAGTCGTTATGATTTTACCGTTTTGGTAATATGTAGTTATTTTTTTTTTTATATATAAATATATATAATATATTATCTGAAATTGTCTATAAATTATTTTAAAAATTGAAACAAATTTTATTTTTATCACTAGATGGCATTGGGTTTATATACTGTAATTAAAATATAGGGAAATTTTACCTTCCTAAGATTAGATATTTTATAACTATCTCTAAATGTCTTAAAGAGTGCAAAGTATTTATAAGTGTAGGAAAGGGTAGAATGTTATACGAGTTTTTATTTACCATCCAAGCATGATTGGGGTCCTCTGTCAATAATTTACGTTTTAAATCACCAAGTGTTAACAATGTTAGCGATTTCTATAGTAAATTTTAGAATGTGTGTATAGAAATTATTTTTAAACTGAATTGATAGTAATCGGTACAATCCATATACCCACCGACATTTGCATAATCATCTTTTCTCTTACAGAACTAAATTCTTTACTAAATCAATATTAACTGTATTCCAAAATCTAAAGAACATGTGGGCATACCTATTAAAAATATTACTTTTTTTAATGTTCTTATAAATCAACTTTTTCATATATCTCTCTTTTCATTTAAGAATTTCCTCTTGTCGGTGCAACTAATTCATGCGTACATACATAAAAATATTTTTTATGAATCTCAAATTGTAATCAAATTGTAATGAACACTGTTAGGAATAATTTTCTTAATAGATAAGTATTTAAAACAAACATAATTGTTAATCTACTCTTCTAAAGACTATTCTGTTATAAAGTAATTACATAAGAATAAATTTATTCTTATGGAAATAAAAAAAAAAATATAACGAAATAGCTTTTTACTAATTCCTAAAATCAAACTATATCCATTTGAATTCAAACTAGTAAATTACAAGCGCGTACATTGATTATTAACAATGTGTATTATAAAGTAATACATTAATACTACTGGCGAAGACAATTGTATATTTAATTAAGTAATTTGTGTCATTGCGAATTTAAGACCAATATTGAGGCTGATTTTAAAATTGCATTCTCTAAACCTGTACTAAAATTCACTAATTTAATAAAATAACATGTGTCCCAGGTGATCCCAGACTATTATGGTTCAAAATTATGACCTCTGCCCATGATTCACCTGGGTCATTATATTTTTTTTTCTGCTGTATATCGTGAACCTAAATTGGTACTAGATCAAACAAATAACTCAGAGAACCGACAACCTATGGAAAGAAAGTTTTCAAGCGACTAGGCTTGCCCGTATCTACGGAGGTAGATACGGGCAGACAAATTTCGTTCGACTCGAGTAGGCAAACTTTGTTTATAAAACAAGCGTCTAACGCCAGTCAAATATACTACTACTAGATTAAGAGACAACCCAAATGTATCGCAAAATCACTATTTACTTTGTAATTAAAAATATATTAAGAATTTTATTACCTTTGGTGCACATGTATATTCGTCTTTCCATGTATTTGATGAATGATATTTTGAAATTGGCTCCAATATATCATAGATCCTGTATTGATCATAGTAATTAGTAAAGACAACCTTTATTTATGAATACTACAAAAAAATATATACTCCATTAAGTGATAGTCCTCCATAATGGAAACTTGGTATAATTCTCATACTAACAATATTTTTATTAATAGAAATGTGATAATATACTTTTTGTCACCAAGTGTATGAAATTATTAGAATTACTTTCACCGCAGGTGTCTTCATATTTATTAATTTCCTTATCTCAGATGCAAATTAAACTTGATCGTCACTACTTAAGAGAACTACGTATTAATACGGAAGTCTGTACGGCTAAATCTGTCAATTTTTAATGTTATTTGTCTGACTCTATTGTTATTCAAATAGTGCTCTTATAGTGAATTCAATCTATTATATAATACTTTTATATTACGGAAATCTTGATGATAGAGGTACCTGTACTTGTAATACGAGTATCGCACTCATTGTAAAACTCCCAAAGTAAATTCTGAAGTCAAAATAATTAGTAGTTGCAGAATTTTTCGTGGACTTGGGTTATACGAGAGCATTTTTAAAATTAACATGAAATATTGAAGTGTTAGTTTTTAAAAAAATACAGACAATGAAGAAATTGCCAGATTTGGTATAAACAGTCTTAAAAGTTTTTGTCAGTATTTATAAAAAAAAAGATGAAAAAGGTATTTACCTAGTAGTTCACTGTCCCGAATCAAAGATACTTTGGTGGTCGTGAGTTCGATTTCTACAGACACCAAAACCTATGTGACATTTTAAATTATGAGCAACTATCCGGTAATGGTAAACACCGTTAACAAATCTAAACTAGCGCCTGTAGTTTCACCCCTGTTAACACACATTCACAAACATGTTAATTTACTATGCAGCTTTAACTACACCTTCTCTTTTGGAATCACGGTATGTATTTGTTCTCATGTAAAAGTATAAAAGAACTAACTTCTTGAAAGTAATAATAAATTAACGTTGATATTTAATATTCTGTGATTTTTGTTATAACCATTATCGGAAATGTAATCTGAAAGTAATGTTAAATTGTTGTCTGTATGGTGTTTCATGTATCGTAATGTGTATTGTTGTAGATTATAAGGTATAAAATACATTCGTTTATGTAAAAAATATGGCCAGTGATTTATCTAAATGATTTCCATAATAGTGTTGTTTCTTGAATGTTACTTTTGAATATGGACCCTGGTATAGTTTTGTAGAGGTTTTTGGGAACTCAATAAAAAAATTTACAAATTATATTATGAATTTTATTTATGGTTATAATAAGTTTAGAAAAATGATAAATCCATAAGAAATGATCAAGAAAATTGTGTTTGATATCTCTGTATATTAAAGTTCTGAACATAGACAATGAAAAAATCAAATATCCTGCATTATAAATCATAATAAAACTAAATATTATAATAAATTCAAAAGTAGTTAGTAGCAAACTTTATAATAAATAGAAACTACATCCTAGATACTGTTTTGATACCTAAAATATCTAAACTTTTTTCCATAATTCTAGCAGTTACTTCACAGAGCATCAATCTCTCATATATAATTTTAACAATTTTCCCTTCTTTATCTTTTTCTACACAATAACACTTGTCATAAAATTCAGTGAAAGTTGATGATATTTCATATAAATATTCACATAAACTGTGCATATATAAATCATTTGATACTTTCAGAATCACTTCGGGAAATCTTAATAAAACCTTGGCTAATTTCCATTCAGAGTCATGAGATAATTTGAATCCAGATTTCTGAACTTCAACTAATAGCTGGTCAATTGAGATTTGGGCAGTTCTAGCAATTGATCTGATGCGTGTAAGAGCATATAATAAATACACAGCTGTATTTCCTTTATCATCTAACATCTTGTCAAAAGAAAACACATAATCATTTACCCTGTTATGTGATAAATCTGCATATTTGATACAACCATATGCAACAGCTTCTTGAGCTTGTTTCAATTCCTCCGGTGTTAACACTTTATCACGACCTTTCTCAATCAATTTATCAAGGGCCCTTTTTAACCCTTCATCAAGCAAATCAATAAGTTTTATAGTATCACCAGACCTGGTTTTAAATTTTTTCTTATCTTCACCAAGCACAACACCAAATCCCACATGTTCTACCTTCTGTCCACTTTTCAAAATGCCAGCTCGTCTTGCACATGCTTCAATAATCACAAAATGTGTATACTGTCCAGCATCTGTGACATAGATGAACCTATCTCCTCTTTCTTCCTCTACTCTTTGTTTTATAGTAGCCATATCTGATGTATCATAGGTATAACCACCATCTGATTTCACTATAGTCAAAGGTATACCATCATGTTTTACAGGATCACCCCACATTATTAATCTCCCTTCATCATCTTCAAGATAACCACCATCTTTAAGCTCTTTCACAACGGTGTTCATCCTACTGTGGTAGAATGATTCACCTCTGTCTATAATTTTTATATCTAACCTGTCATAAATCTTCTGAAACTCTTGACGTGAAACTTCACAGATCAATTTCCAAGCTGTAATATAATCTGCATGTCCCGACTGTAAATTAACTACACAAGCATAAGCCCTTTTTTTAAATTCTTCATCTTCATCAAACCGTTTTTTTGACTCTTTATAAAATGCTTGCAGATCCGATATTGGAGGAGAGTGAGTCTTAAAATTTGGAAACTTGTCTTGCAAATGTGCAATCAACATTCCAAATTGGGTACCCCAATCTCCTAAGTGATTTATTCGAAGGACATCTTGGTTTAAGAACTCAAGGACTCGACAAATACTGTCTCCAATAATTGTGGACCTTAAGTGACCTACATGCATTTCTTTAGCAATGTTTGGAGAGGAGAAATCAACAATAATTCGTTCTCTTTTTAGTGGTGGTGGCTTTACACCAAATCTGAGGATACAATTTAGAACATGTTCAGCAAACTCTTTATTTAGGTAGATATTTAGAAAACCAGCTCCAGCCACTTCTATCCTTTCAATGAGAGGTGATGTAGGAGTTTTATTCAAAATGTTATTGGCTACTTCCCTAGGGTTAGTTTTAATATTGTTTGCTTTTAACAACTGTGATATAGCCATAGCAGAATTACATTGGTAATCTCCAAACTTAGGATTATTCCCAGACAATGTAATAACGATAGGAGGATCAATCAGATTAGGATATGCAGAAGTTATAGCTACTTCAAATATATTTTTCAATTCATCCAGAATGCAAACATTACCTTCTACAGAACTAATGTCTGTAATAAGCGTAGGCCGTTTCCTAACCTCTCTTTTAGTAGGTTCCCTACTAACGCCGGAACTTTCAGCTTTAATTGCATTCTCCAGAATAGCTAAACGATGTTTCAATTTCTCATTGTCTGTGAGTAATTTTTCCAATTGTGGATCACCTGTGTAACTGAGATCTCCTTCAGAAATCCTCTGCAATTCATCTTCAATAGCTTTCACTTCTCTCTCTGCCCTGGTGGTTCTCTGTTCTAATTTATTTTGGTCCAAATCTAACATAATAGTGTATAATTAACTTGCAGAAGGGATTTATTTATATGTAAATAGAAGCTTCGATGAATTATTTTAACTGTTAAATAAATAATTTTCGTCAATATTGTAATATTTTTAGGTTATTGAACCGAGCACACGTCTCTTGTTGTTAATGACAAAATTGACATTGACAAACAAGTGACATTGAGAGACAACGATCGTAGTGTCTGGTAATTGTCATTTGCAAATTTAAAGGTACATACATAAAATATATATATAATACAGACGGTATATATACATAGATTTTTTTGATGGGTGAAAATAGAATGGTAACCCCGCCTGCGCTAATGGGATACGCTGGCGGAACACCAGTGAAGGTGATCGATGAGAATAAAAACAGGCCAGTTAGCCCATCATGGCGAATTCATCAGGAATTAACCATGATATAAATAATATATAATTATAGTTTCCAGGGGGAACCACGAAGAGGTCGACCTGATTGGGTATATTGCTAGCAATGGGATTTTTAGTCTCCATCACTAACGATCCCTTTCCCCCCAATATACATAGATTGAGAACAACGATTTTTAATAGCAATAATATCGAGGCGTAGGAGGATAGTTTTAGATATAGTCTCTCAAATTTGTAGAAGACAGGATAGGATACCACCACTTCGTAGCAATTTTGCCGCACAAGTAAATGCTGCGACAACACATTCCTTTTTATTCTATTGAAAAAAAAAAGTCCCCATTACTAACAATCCCTCCCCCTCCAGTCATACGCCAATAACGAAAAGTGAACAATCCCGATGTTGACATTGACCTATATTTTCATCAAATTAGTCAATCGCGACAAATATAACTAGGGCTCTGTTAGGACTATATTATGAACGATATAAATATGTTGCAGTAATAGAGACCGAAAGTCCCATTGCTAGCAATATACCTAACCAGGTCGACCTCCACGCGGTTCCCCTAGAAAACTATCATGGTTAATTTCTGATGAATTCATCTGGCCTGTTATATAGAATATAATAATATAGAATATTAACCAAATAGTGTGGCGACTTACAAACTTAACATTTTCAATGGTTGCTGGTTTAATTTACGCACAATGCAAATATTTGTATTCATTAGTAGGCATATATGTCTATTATGTTCTATTGATGTGGGTGTTTTTATTGCAACATTGCAAATTTTTTATTTGCAGTCACTTAATAAGTCTAATACTCACGGTGCATACACTGAGATGCCCTGCATAGTTTGCGACTAGATGGCGCTGTTAAGTGTAATATGTCTAAAGGTATTTCTCTTTTTTAAATACAGCTCCCCTTATTCCTTACATATATTTACATTATTTAAAATACCACTCTAGCTGCATTACAAGATAAATCTAGCTCTTTCAAGATAACGCAATCGCTTTTTCATTGATCATTTAAAAATAAGTTACTATAGCAACCAAGGTCAAACAAACAGCGGCAAAGCCAAAAATATGTTTCAAAAGTGCAAGTGTGAATGAGAAATAATTTTTATTAGGTTTTTAATTAAACTGTTTTATAACATTCTGTAAAGTAACAAAACATTTTCCAAAATATATACCTAAGTACCTGTTAAAGTATTTCAATTGTGCGTGTTACCATGAAGTTATTATTAGCCATAAAGAAATTAGAATATTTATAGCAGATGAAGATCGTATTGGCCTTCTAATGGCTCAAGGATGGCACAGCAACAAAATGGGTTCGAATACACGAATACGGACAGGGAAATACCATTTTGGTTGGAAGACATTACCCAGTGAGTACCTACAATTTTCTCAATTTCCTATAATCGGAACGCCATGAATGATTAATGATTTGGTATGTTAGGGTGTTAGCACAATGCACTCAATAACTTCCGCCAAGGCTCACATTAGCTATTCAATAGCGCCAACGGTCCAAGGCCACTAACCCTAAATTTTATTTATTTTGCATACTACGCACTAAGTCATTTCATTTCAGGGAGATGAAAGAAACGCACATAAGTAACGACTCCACAAATTTCGAAGAACCTAACATAAAATTGAGCAGTCTAAAATTGGATAACCACAGGTAATTTTTTTTTTTTATGTAAATTCATTTACCAATTTATGTGTCTGTAGTTAGGATTTTTTTTTTAGATTAATAAAATCTTAAACAATATTTAATGATAATATAAAATCTCAGTTTCACCAACATGCTTTAATTTCTTGAAATATAATACATACTAAATTTTTTCGTTTCGTTTCATAATTCGTTCGTTTCGTTCAATAACTACCTACTTACCTATCTGTTTAGATTAACCCGAAGGACATCGCTGGATGCCACTATAGATATGATAATGAAACCACAGTTGCAAACATTAGCTCTATCAGCGGGAACCATTCGAAATAATAAAGGTTCGTACTTTTAAAAAAATCAATGTAAGGCTTTGGTTAGTTGGCGATACCTTCACTTCAATTAATAATCGCTGTTAAGCTAAATAGGTGTCCAATGTTGTGAGAAATAAAAAAACATAAATCTAGGGGCACATAGAACTTAGATGCAGAGCAAAGCCAATTCAGAAAAATTAGTTTCTTTAATTTGTCCAAACCAAATTGAATCTTTTGACCTCATTTACACAAAGCTACGTACTTACCCACTGCACCACGGAGGTGGCCATATATCATTCATACTTAAAATCTCAGAATTTATAAGAATTCAATTCTTATTGTGCATAGGTTACACAATACAAAATGGACGACGGAAGTATCTAAGAAGTAACAAGCTAGACTGGGGCGATTCCTCAGACTGCAGCTCGAATGACTTTATGTCCGACTTGCTACCTCATTACGTGACACCAAGGCACAGAAGATCTAATAATGTTATTGACGAAGACTTTCACGACGTTATTTTAGGTTCAAGTAAGTATAATGAAGAATATAATCATTGTAAATGGTCCTTCGAGCCGGATTAAATTTACTAGTTTTTTATTACAAATTTATTAATTGGTATTCCATATAATTAATTAAGTACGTGGTCATATTTTATTCAGGATATCAGGAAAGTAATAAATTGCGGAAGAAATCCACTTCTAAGGATCAAAATAACTTGAGCAGAAAATCTTCGGTAAAAAATACTACTAAGAAGCCAGCATCGTTGAGTTCAGTATCTACCAAGAATACCACGAGTATAAAAGAGAGATCAAAAAATGAGTTTGTTATTCCAGAGCTACCTGAAGGCAGACTGCTGGAAATAAAAATTTTCTCCAATTGGGGAGACAAATATTTAGTTGGTCTGAATGGTATAGAGATATTTGACTCCGATGGGAATGAAGTTTTAATCGAAAAGGTGAATGGTGTTTATTTATTAATTATTTACGTTCCTAGACTACTAGCAAATAAATCTAACGATAGATACTTTATCGCTACCGCGTATATGAGATATATCAAAATAATTACGTCTGGCATCTTTTTTCTTTTCATGTACAAGTCAACAAAACGTACTCACCGATAAGTACGTTTGGCTCTTTTCGAAGAGGCTGGTGTACAAATAGTTTGAAACTAATACGCTTTAGAATTAAAATGTTTATTATTTTCTTTAGGTATGGACAGATTCTGATACAGGAGATCAGTCGAATCATGGCCGCGTGGAGAACATAGCTGATGGCGTAGTACGAACACGCGACGAAAAGCACGCGTGGACCACATCGGCGCCACGAAATTTGCCGATTGTATTAAGTGTACTGCTAGCTAGATGCGCTAGACTTGCTTTGCTAAGGATTTGGGTATGGTTATTTGCTTCAGAAATATCTAAAAAGATCTTTATATTTACCTATAAGAGCTAGCGTCAACTAAACCTAATTGCTTTCATTACATATTTGAAAATATTTTTCAGAATTACAACAAATCTCGCATATATTCAACTCGCGGTGTTCGACTGGTTCAGATGAAATTAGATGACCGAGTTATATTCCATGGTGAAATAGCCAGATCGAGCGGCGAGCTCAAAGGACCTTTACCATCTTTTGGTGATGTTAGTTTGGATACAAATTTGTAAATTACAAATTTTAATATTTAACACACTTGTCTGTATTTATCTATATTTTTCAGACAATACTATTCACCAAAGACTCAAATATTCTTGAATCAGTAATGCAAAACGATAAGAATTTCCAAACTCTCCTAAAAGACAATGAGCCGATGCTAGATTCAAACATTGAACGGCCGCTAACAGCAAATGACAGCAATCATGACCTCAACCCTACAGAACTCTTAGAAGCCCTAAAAGATGAGCAGGAGACGAAGTATGTAGTAAAAAAGGTCAAGCTCACGCTCATGTCTAATTGGGGACAGAGAAATCTCATTGGCTTGACAGGTAATGAAGTATTGTGGGATTGAGTTATAAAACTACAGTACATTCAAGAAACTTACAATTTTAATACATATCATACAAAATATTATCAATTTTGAACCGATTTTGAATCATTGTTGTTCAATACCGGAATTATTGTCAAAATTGGTGTTTCTTTTTTGTAAAAAAAACTACATCTAAAACCTTTTTAGATAACAGTAGTTTGTAACATGACTTATTTTTTGTCCTTAGGAATAGATATCCTTCGGTATAATGAATCGGTAAAACTACACAGAGCTTTCGCATATACTGCACCCATTACAGACGAGCAACCACCGGAGCATGGTCTGATCGAATGCAAGAATTTATTTAACGGTAGAAATATTACTACAGATTTTGACGATATGTGGTGTACCAATTTGCCAAGTGGTAGATACTGTCATATAGTGATGGAGTTACGAGAGCCAACTGAGATCACCAGTGAGTATCAATTGCCTTTAATAGAGATTAGTACTTGAACTTATAAAAGAGAACCCTTATGAGGTTGGAGTCTTTAATTTGATGAACTATGAAATACTTACTCTTATCTGTAGGCTGAGTTACTTGCATACAAAAACAAAACTTAAGAAATACGAATTCAGAAAAATATGGACATATTTTTACAAACTATAATTTACTACTAGTATTATTCATTTTTTTTTTTATCTAATACAGTTTAAATACTATATACACAATGTAGTAATTTATTATCTGCTAAGACTGAATACCAAATATCTGTGTGTACGAGGGACTTTAGTCCAGTACAGTACAGACTTGTACAGTACGGATAAAACATTATGCCAAGAGTTGTCCCTGATCTACATAGACCCCACGAGTGTTTTATACCCAGCGGGTATTTGGTTACAGGTGTCCGTATATGGAACTATAACGCGAACTTGGAGCTGTCCTATATCGGTGGTCGCGAGGCACGGCTGAGCGTGGAGGGGTGGAGTGGACGTACGGTGCTGCTGCGGCGCGCGCCCGGCGACACCTGCTACGACTACGTGCAGCAATTAGACCTTACCGTGACTACTTCACCATCGCACCAGGTTGATCTCGTGCGTGGTGATAGGTCAGTATTACCTTACTTCTTAATTCAAGTTAACTGAAAGGAAAGAGATTGAATGACGGACTTACGGTCCCATTACTTACTATACGAGTATATCCTAATTATTATTAAGTCGATATCTTCAGAATCTACCTGTAAACTATCGTGGTTGATTCCTGGTGAATTCATCACGATGGACCAACTGCATTAATTTCATCCTCACACTGGCATTTTGTGACGTTAAAGGTTTTTTAATGGATGAAAGTGAAATAGTAAATTCCATTACAGCCATTAAAAAACTATTAACATCCCGCTGCCAGGTACGGGACCATGTTATGCGAGAGGCAACAGGTCTGGCAATTTGGAATACTGTTGCTATTTCGAGTTTTCCCTTTGTTGCACTGACATATTATTTTTTTACTAAATTACATGTCAATTTGCTGTTTGGAAGTCTGTACTAATGGCTACAAACTGGCACGCATACAATTCTAATCAAATAGCCAGTTATTCTTTCTTCCCTTAATCACCTTTTACCATATACCATACCATATCAGCCAATAATTATCAACTGCTGAACATAGGCCTTCCCCATAAATGAGAGAGTTTTGTAAGGCAGATTGGCAACCGTAGTTAGGCCTTTGGTCATGTTTTAAAAGGGACGCTGCTGTCCATCCCTCAACCATTTCCTTTAGTCGCTTTTTACGATACCCACGGGAAATTAAAAGGTTGCCCATTCTATGCCGGAACCTACACGACTAATCATCTTTTACGACATTTTTAAGATTAGAAAAAAGGTGACAAGTTATATTCTTGCTTCGTAACCACCAGATAACATGGACAGATCTGCCTTCACTTTGCTTATTTTATATCACCGGGAATGGCATAGACTCTTGTTGAGGCGTCAAATCTAAATTTTACAAGCACTATCACTAAATTGAGAATTACATATTTTATACTTCTTAACATAATATGTATTTGAGTATTGGCATGATTATATATGTAGGTTGGATTTTGGAGTTCAGCAGGCTTGCAAAAAAATAAAGTATTCTTTTACTTACAGATTAGGTGACATGAAAAGTTATGAAAAGTTTCCAATGCATAATGGGTACCTCGCGTATGGCGGTGACCTAGAGATGGATACGCCGACAGGATTCGTGCTACAGATTAGCATATTCTCAACATGGGGCGACCCCTACTATGTGGGGCTTACTGGAGTTGAGCTGTATGATCCCCATGGAAACATCATACCGCTCACGGAAACAAGTGAGTTTACTTTTATGATCCACAATAACACTGTGAATTTAATTCAGAAAAACTAATTATTTATCCTATTAAGGATTTTTTTATGGATGGTAATGGAATGGTAACACCGCCCGCGCTAACGGTATACGCTGGAAGGGCACCAGTAACAGAAGTTAGGTGAGAATAAAAAAGCAGGTCGGTTAGCCCATCGTGATGAATACTCGTGGAATTCGGCATAATGGTTCCCAGGGGGGACTATCGTGGAGGTCGACCTGACAGGGTATATTGCTAACAATGGGACTGGTAGTCCATATTACCAACAATCCCTTCCTACTAAGAATTGAAGCAGATCAACAAAGAGGTTATGTGAAACTGTGTACAAAAGTCGTTTGCTTGGGTACCTCTGTCTCATTCGTGTTTCAACCGTGAAGCAGTTCTGTTTGCATGGCTGTGTTTCGGTTTGAAGGGTGGGATATGGCGTGAATTTACAGGGTACAGAGGAATAATACCTGAGTCCTCAGGAATGGCAACGCATGGGGAATATCATGAGCGAAACAGTATACCCTGTAATGTCCATGGTACTGCTCCTGTCTATAGGCGACGATTACCACTTTCCATCAGGTGGGCCGTCAGCTTGTTTGCCATTTTAAGTTGTATAAAAAAAAATTGAAAGTAGATTTTAGGAAGATGAACTCGCTTCTGATCGGGTGGGCCGTCATAAAAAGTAATATATTTGCAGACGTGTGCGCGCACCCGGCGAGCGTGAACGTGGTGCTGGCTCGAGGCGCGGAGGCGGACGCGCGCACGCCCGACAAGCTGGTGGACGGACACAACGCAAGCGTCGGCGACGCCTCGCACTCCTGGCTCGCGCCCGTGCTGCCGCGCACGCTCAACAGGTACACAACTCTTCATCAGATTTTTATAACGCGAATACTTTAAATTTGGGCACAATGGCGTTACCTTTTTCTGTTTTTTTTTACTGAGTGATAATGGAATGGTAACCCCTACTGCTACTACTAATCAATATAAAAAGGCGGGGTACCAGTGAGGAATGATAGGTGACGATAAAAGCAGGTCTGTTAGTCCATCGTCACGAAATCCAGTAGAATTAACCACGTTAATTTCCAAGGAAAACCGCGTGGCTAGAGGCGTATTGCTCGCAATGAGTCAGTTAGATCCCATTATTAACAGTCCCATTCACTCCACCTTTACCTGTTATGAATAAAGAGTTTATAAGTATTACGCTAGTCACTACTTCTCCTCTAATCCTATATATCTAGGTCCATTCATACAAGTCGTCCTCCACACAGTCTTTTCTCCCCTAGAAACTTTCGTTTTTTTTTAATGGGTGATAATGGAATGGTAACCCCACTCGCGCTATCAGTATACACCGGCGGGGCACCAGTGAAGGATGATAGGTGAAGATGAAGCAGGTCAGTTAGCCCATCGTGACGAATTCAACAAGAATTGTTCACGATGGTTTCCAGGGGGAACCACGTGGAGGTCGATCTAATATATATTGATAGCAATAGGGCTGTTAAACTCCACTGCTAACAATCCCTTCCCCCCTAGAAACTTTCGTTGTTAGTCCCTAGGAAATTCGTCACCATTATGCGGATGCATCCATCGTAATGTATTTACCAGGAATTTTGTGGCGCCAAAGATCGCCGAATCCAAAGGGAGCCAGAAATCATGCATCAACAAAGTGTAGCACAAAATTTTATGTCCATGGCTCTCTTGACTCTCCCAGTTTTTTGAGCATCATCAAACATTTTGAACACTCCAATTGAAGACTCAAGTACTAGTAAGTTCATGTTTAAAAAAAACCGATAATTTGATTTCTAAAAACATTTATTGTTTCAGAGTATTTTTTGTGTTCGATGCGCCAGTGTCGGTATATGGTATGAAAATATGGAACTATGGCAAAACGCCCACGAGAGGTGTTAAGGAATTTGCAGTAAGTGATAATGTAAAAATACATTTTCAATAAAAAGACCTTTTGAACATTTATTTGTGTATTTGTTTTAAAAATAATAAATTTCAGGTATTAATGGATGACCTGCTTATTTATAATGGGAGCCTGGACTGTGCCAAAAATGGTGATATATTATCACCTCAATGGATCTGCTTGCAAAATGTAGATGTCGACAATGTGACACCAAGGTGAGTCGTTTGTACATCATTATCATATCGGCCTTTGACTGTTCCCCGTTGAACATAAACAAGGGAGAGCCCATGAGGGGTTTTGCCAATAGTTGCCACGCTTGGGAGGCGAATTGGCAACTGCAATCAGGCTTTAGAGATGTTTTAATAGAGACGCTGCTGCCTATCCCTCGCTCTCCCTTAGTCGGCTCTTACGACACCCACGGGAATGGACGGGGTGGCCTATTCTATGCCGGCCTATCCTACACACACGGCCATGTTTGTACATGCATAGAAAGAATTAAAGGTCTCTTTGGGGAATGTTTCGATTACATGGATAATATAATTTGATTTCTGGTTAGCACCCCAATATTATATTATGTACCTACTAAAAATAAATCATTCTCTGTTTATTACAATGGTACGGCAGTTCGTCGGACGTGAGCCAGCGCAGCACAACGAGTGGGTCACAATCGCAATTCGTCGATCCGCGTCTGCGGCCCCACACTGGCGTCAACGAACACATGCAGCGCCACTGACACAGCGTGGCTACGTTATGTATACGAGAAATGCCCCAAGAAACGTATTTCATATATAAATAAATACAGTGTTACGTAATAGGTACCTATATTAATTTACAGTTATGAAATATCACATAGGGCTCAAAAATATAATTTTGTCTTAGGAATTTAGAAGTATAAAAATTATGTAAGTAATTAAGACACGTTGAGTCACGCCTGCGTCCTTGACTGAATGTAAATTGATTTAATTTAAACAGTAATTTGTTTCTCGATCTCGAGCCAATAAAAATTGATCAAATACAGACAATAATTTGTTTCTCGTTTTCAAGTGAAGATAAATCAATCAAATACAGTTATTTGTTTTTGCGTTGTCGGGTGAATGTAAATCGATCGAATGCGGGGAATAGTTTGTTTATGTGAATCGTAGAATAAAGTCATATTTGTCTGCATGAAAATTAGTAGGTAATAATGCACTTTATATGGAGGAAACATTATGCATCCACACAGAAATTAAAACAATTCGTAGACTGCTCGCACGCCAAACTAATATAGATGAATTATTTTGATATATTCACATGAGAATTAAATAAATAGAAAAAAAAAAACAGGAAACCTATAAAAATGTTTAGGAAAGAGTTAGAAATTAATTAAAGGAATTATTTGAGTAATAACCGAAGATGTATGCTAGATATCCATCCATTGTTTACGTATGTACAGTCCATAGTCATATAATGTGTTTAGGATCATGTTTAGGTCTACATTTTTAAAACATGTAGGTATATTTTGTTCTGTATATTGGTTAGTAAATACTGTGAAACAATACCTGTAGACATTGTAAGTATATGTATAATTATCTTACAAGTGGACCGTATCAGTGATGTAGCTACTCAAATTGCCCTTGTTAGGTGAACCATGTCCTGTCATGTTTTATACCGGAAATAAACTACGAATTTTATATTTGTTGTTGTTTAATTTCTATAATTTCGTATAAATATAGCGATGATTGCAAATGGTTATGATCCAAGCGCAAGTGATGTTTGATATCGACGATCAGCCATTGACTTGATTGTCTTATGATTGAATAGTATGTACGAAACGTAGGTACTGTTCTTAACCCTCTGACCATGCATAAATTTTTTAAGAATCCCGCGATTTCGACGCGCTCGCATTTTTATGTTTATTGACGTTATCCTGCGATTTTTGTTTTGATGGATTGATATTGTTTCCCTAAATCTCGCTAGATGGCTAAATACTCATATTGCTATTTGTTGTCAAAGCGATATGCGAAAATGAAGCGAAAACAATATGCGGTCAGGGGGTTAATCTATGCTGGATATATAAGCATAAAATGTTCAAATTTATTTATACTCTAACAAGATTATAATTTTCTTTTTGACTGTGGAACAGGATTTAAATATCCTTTTTTATTTAAAATGCTACACTTTTCAGTCGTGTAGCAGGTATATCGCTAAAGCACGCACTTTACGCACAAAGCTATCGAGCCAAAAAACCTGCCCACTTAGGTCCACAGATAAAATGCTTTTTAATATTTTTTTATTTTTATACAACATAGAATGGCAAACAAACGGCCTACCTGATGGAAAGTGGTAACCGTCGCCTATAGACATGAGCAGTACCATGGACATAACAGAGTATACTGTTTCGCCCATGGGGCTCCCCATGCGTTGCCATTCCTGAGGACTCAAGTGTTATTCCTCTGTACCCAGTAAATTCACGCCATATCCCATCCTTCAAACCGAAACACAGCCATGCAAACACAAAATGATTGAACGTTAGAATTAAAATAAAGCAATGAATATAATTCAACTTAATTTATTGTTAGATAACTAACAAATCACAGACTGGTTGTTTCATCATACTATACATATGGTGGCGCCGCTCCAGGCCAGTAATATATGTTACAAATTTTTGGTTTAGTTTTACAGCTTTCGTAAAAATCTAATGGTACAACGATAAACTTTTGAGAGATACATTTTTATCCGAAAACAAAAAAATCCATGTATACACAATACTCAAAATGTACTTTATTTATTTCATGTTAACTGTAAGTAGGCACAACCCATTATAGTTGTACATCTTACGATGGCAGATAGCTTAGCAGATATTTTACAATATTTCGTTTCGTAAGGCTATACCCAAACGGATATTTTAAAATTGTATTTGGACGACAGTCATTGTGCTGTATTAAAAACAAAATAATAGAGGTCAAACTATATACTTTTTTCTTTTTTGTGGCATGACTAGTTCAAACATACATACAGTTGTACCGCCAGTTGGCAGTTAAAATTATAAATACTTAAACCATTATAAAATAGAAGTGAAACTTCTTTCAGAACGATACAATAATATTCGTGCGTATCTATATAGCTTGGTAGACTTATATTCGTAGCTATTTTCGTAGCTATTTATTTATATGTTTTATATACATCTGTAATTAATCTTAAAAAAATTGTACCTCAGCCCTAGTTTCACTTCAAAAACTCATTGTATTAAATCTTTTTATAAACAAAAAAATGGAGTCAAACTTGCCAATAAATGTTTTAGTTTATTGGAATATAATTCGTAATTAGTAACTGGATTGTAAGAATGAATAAATAAATTTGCCCAAGATTAGGATTTTCACTGCATACTCTACACTAAGTTGTATTTTGTGAATATTTTGCATTTCATGGCATCAAATGTCACCACATAAGCAACATAGGAGATACCTTCACTCACAAACTTAAAATGAAACTAAGATAATTAATGGTATTTAAAACTAATAATTTACCCATGATATGTACATTGTAACTGTAATTCTAAGAATTAATATAGCTTAAATAATATAGGCATGAAATTAAACACTTTTAATTAAAAAAGAATCACGCAAATTATCTCAAAAATTTGTAAAGAATCGATGTACATAAAAAAACAAATACGTCGAACGTATATAAATAACGTCCTTTTTTTTAATATGCAACACCTCCCCGCCTTCCACTAGTTTTACGTCATCCGTAAAACAAGAATATGGTTATATATTGTAGAAATGAGTTTAACTAGTTTTAAATACTGCTAATTACTTACAGCAGAAATAATTGGCATCCAACATTCATTTGTGTTCATAAATGGTCAGTTACATCATGGCAGTTTATAAATAATAATATAAATATATTCAGAGAACCCAAAGCCATTACTACGACACTAAAGAGGAAGGAATGAAATAATCAGATAAAACAATACGATTAGCAGTGTTAAGGCAGTTACATTACATCAATAGTTATTACATCGAATCCTAACATTATTATCAGTCTATCAAGTACAGATTGTGTGTCCTTACAAATGATAATAAAGCATTTCCTACTACAAGAGGTACTTTTTAAGAAAAAAATATTTTTAGAACTGATAAATGAACATTACAATGATTCAGTCGCCAGGACTCAGCTCCTCAGTCAAGATTTAATAATTTGTAAATTATATAACATATTATGCATAGCTATAACAAACAATAAAAAAATTTCGCACTACTTTATAACGACATATAAAATTCGTTTAATTAACAACCCAATATTGGATTTAATATAACTGAGAAATTAGAATATTTATTATTCTCTTCCTGCCCTAATCTTAATTTTTTTTATTATGTGACTATAGAGATATCACTAAATAACACTGGTCATATCGTAACCGATATAAATCAAATAAGGAATTTACCATAGACTATGAAATTATTAAGAAATTATGTCTACATTTCCTTGACCATAGTTTATCCGCCAAAAAAGAGACAAGTCTTTAAAAATTACAATATAATTATTGCAGATAATATAAATAATTAATATAATATATAATAATTCAGACACACAATCATCCTACAAAACGCTATTACCAATCTATACACAGTATAAAAAAGAGCATGTTATGAATGTAATATCTGTGATTAATTATCAGATATAATTATCTGTGTATAATCGCAAATTATTGTTCATTAATTATTAAACAATAATCTAACTGAAGAAGTAAACTGATTTGAGTACGCTGTTGAGATCAAAATCACCTTTGCTGGGAACTTTCTTCAGTAGGTTATTGACACGTTTCTTGTTCGCTCCGCCAGGGGTCGACACATCAAGCTCCCTAAAATTAATATATTTATTATGTATATAGTAATATATTTATGAAGATAATAATTATATAACTAACGCAGAACGAGATCTCATGGAGGAGCATTAGTGGAAATATTGAAGATTTTTTTTTTACTTTTACAATAACGCCAAAGGAGTAAAACTCGAGAGTCTATTTTTTCTTTTTCTGGCATTTTTGGTAAATTGCTATTGTTGATATTTTTTTTTTACATTCAACTGACACAATATAGGTGAATAGTAAGTTTTCTAGATAGCACAATAAACAGCGGTATATTAGCTTAAATAGAAATAATATAATAAGAAAACATACATGTACGTTGTATATAAATAAATTATAGATTGCATTACCTGTAATCGTAACTGTACCGCTTGACTAGGTATTCCGATAAATCGTTCAATATCGGCTGCGAATGTAGTGCGACGAACTGCTCGCGGCAAATCTGCGAAACGATAAAATATTATATTATACAACAACAGATAAATATAGTTTAAGTTCAGGTTGAATTCTTATAAGCGTGCAAAAACAGCTGAATCCAAAACTACACAATAGAAAAAAAATATAGAAAAATGTCTCAATGTCGATTTTGATAAATATTTAAAATTAGAACAAAATTTTTGTAAAATTAATTTTACTAGCCGGAAAAGGAACTCCTTTATTACGATAAAATACCATATAGTGTTAAATTTGAATTGCTCATTCGTCACCATTATATCACCAGTTAATTGTCTAATACTGAACACAGGCCTCCCCCATATGAAGGGTATTGCTAGTAGTTGCCACTTTTAACAGGCGAGTTGGCATTTGCTTTTTACTAACATAACATTATTTTCCTATATTACGTAAGCCTATAAACTATACAGCCTATAAACCAGAGGGAGATTTTGTACAAAAGTCGATTGCTTGAGTACCTCTGTCCCATTCGTGTTTCTACCATGAAGCAGTTGTGTTTGCATGGCTGTGTTTCGGTTTGAAAGATGGGATATGGCGTGAATTTACAGGGTACAGAGGAACAACACCTGAGTCCTCAGGAATGGCAACGCATGGGGGGTATCATGGGCGAAACAGTATACTCTGGTATGTCCATGGTACTGCTCATGTCTATAGGCGACGGTTACCACTTTCCATCAGGTGGGCCGTTAGCTTGTTTGTCATTCTAAGTTGTATAAAAAAAAAGGATTGGGGTAACTAGTAAAGTGCAATTTTTTACAGTTTATCATAGTACATAGATATTTTATTCAAGCTATCCAAGTAACCACACCCCACTCCACCTGATAATAAGCTGGTAGTGTCGTCCACACACCAACAGTACACCAAGTTCTATCAGTCATCACCATAACAGTCTGTGAAGGCGTTTTGGCCACCCACCTCATTCATGGTGTCGACGGTGTCTGGGTGCGTCCAGAAGCAGTCGTGTACGGAGACGAAGGTGAGGCCGCGCGCCTGGCAGTGCAGCCCCGTCAGCATCATGTGCGATGAGTCCAGCGAGTGGATGAAGTTGGGCGGGAACGCGTTCCGCTGCTTCATTGTGCATGGTCGCCTGCAATCGAACATATATACAGTGGTAATCAACAAAAACCATTCCTTAAAACTAGTGTTAGTATTCATTGATAGGGTCACAGAATTTTTTTTTCGTAGAATAAATCTTTATATTACCAAAAAGCAAAAATAATATAGGAGAGGATAAATGGAAAAATATTCAAAGATTTAATTCCTTGATAGTATTGTTAGTATTCATTAAAAGGATCAGAATTTTTTTCTTAGAATCTTTCTTATATTATCAAAAAGTAAAAAAAAAAAAAAATAAGAAGATAAAAGAAAAAAAATCTAAGAATGATTGACAAATACAATGATACCTGGACTTACGCGATTTTAAAATTTCATCAATTCTTCTTTCATTTGAATGCCACTCACAAAATTATTAGTGTAATTATTATTGCTTAGGCAATGATCCCAATTAAAAACAATTTATATATATATTTATATGTAAAATTTCACAAATACAGGTTTTAGTACAGTTGAAAATGTCGAACCAAGTTCTAATTTCCACTGATATTTGTTATATATTACATTGTTGTATCAACCTCTAACTGTCCACTGCTGAACATAAGCCCCCCTCTTGAGAGGTTTTCCAATAGTTGCCACGCTTGGCAAGTGGATTGGCAATCATACAATACCTCACTTAAATTGTAAACTGAATAAATTAAAATTATAGTAACTTTGTCACATACAAATAACTTTTTATAAACAAAATTTTGTTAAATATTGACTTGCTATCGTGTGACGAAGAATATTGTTAAATAAATTAATTATTATTGGTTGTATGGCATCTCTGACATACATCTATGGTTACTCGTATACTAGTTTGTTAATTTCATTTTTATGGTGAAAATAAATAATAAAAAAAAATCAAAGAAATATTCATAAAAAAACATCGACAGAACGAAGCACCACAGTGTAGTATCGCTTCGTTCATGATGCGTAAGAGATCTCATATAGATATAAATTGGAGCGTACATGTGAAGGTCGAGCGGGGCCCGCGGCGTGGCGCCGGTAGCGGCGGCGGCGGGCGGCGCGCGGCGGTAGTAGGGCTGCACCACGGGCAGCCCCAGCGGCGTCACCCACTCCACGCTCTCGCCGCATACGCCCGAGATGACCCTGCGCGCATGCGGAGGGAGAGGTTGTTAGTAATGCGGACTATCAGTCCCATTACTAGCAATATACCGTCAGGTCGACCTTCACGTAGTCCCCCCTGGAAACCATCGTGCTGAATTCCAGGGGTATTCATCACGATGAGCTAACTGATTGCCTTATCATTCTCACCTTTTATCCCTCACTGGTGCCTCGCCAGCATATATCGATAGCACAGGCGAGGTTACCATTCCATTATCATCCATTAAAAAAGACCCTGCGCGTATACATCACACGTGCATTGTCTTTTACAAATAATATAATCTGCTAGTTGACAGTCTTTTTTTTTATACAACTTATAATGGCAAACAAGCTGACGGCCCACCTGATGGAAAGTGGCAACCGTCGCCTATAGACATGAGCAGTACCATGGACATAACAGAGTATACTGTTTCGCCCATGATACCCCCATGCGTTGCCATTCCTGAGGACTCAGGTGTTATTCCTCTGTACCCAGTAAAATCACGCCACGCCATTCACGTCTTCGGAAAACTAAGTATTTTAAAATTTGCAGATGGTTTTCTAGACTTTTCACAGTTACTAATTTCTTTAAAACGCGTTTTATAATAGATAAAGAAAACATTTATACTTTTATAATATTCAGTATTATACTGCAACGCTGATTTGACTTCACTGTAAATTTCGAAATAATTTAACGCATTTAAAAAAAATTAAAAGCAAACATACTTGGCGCAATCGGTAAACCAGTCCTGAATGAGCTTTGTCGAAGTGAACATCTCTCGGAGGCTGTCGAAGGTTTTTGTGGTCAAATACTGGGAACACGCCCATACATGCTCCTTAGGGAATTCGTCTATATCTGTAATGAAATATTACATTATTATTATTTTATTCCTATATAGAAGGGAACATACCTAAGGGAACTTAATGATCGAGAGATGGACACCAGTGTACTTCTTAAAACATCAGCAAAACCTAACTGTAAGTGTTAATCTACCTGCCAAGCATGATACAACTGGCAAAGCTCCCCTCGTGGGGAAGACGTATGTTCAACAGTGGATAGTTAAGGACTGCAATGATGATTCCTATACAACTAAAGAAATGGTGTACAGAAATTACAAGAATTTAAGAAAATGGCTAAGTGACACAGTGAAATGTGAAATAGGACTCCATTTTCCGCACTTAGCCTCTAATTTGGGCCGTTGTGCGTATGAGTCATGGCTAGTAAAGCCAACCTAGCTCCGCCCAGAAGCACAGAAGCTTCCTGGGTTCTTCACAGGCCTCACGGAGCGACCTCACCGTTCCGAGGATTTCTAAACGTTGATGGGCCACAGCTTCACATTCCAGGATTACGTGAGCAGCCGTTAATGACACAGTGATATAATTAAAATTTATTTACGGCGCTTAAATAGTGATTGTCACTGGGCACAGGATAAACAAAATGATATAAGTATCATATATGAAATGAGTCATCGTGAGAAATTTATGGAAAATTTATTTTGACAAGTTGAGATAGAAGGTAGTCCGCTATTTTATGGTGACCATCATGTCAATTCTACTATTTATTATAATAGATATAATAAATGTGAAACTGCGAAGACATTTTGCGTGTTAATTTAATAAGTTAGATTTAATTGAATGTTTGAACAAATAAACAAACTGTATGCTTATTAATAAGTCACGCTGAAACGACTGAACAGATTTAAATGAAATTCGATACAGCAGAATATCGATTATTTGAATTAAGTAAAACCAGCAGTATTCCGTGTAATCGAAAATCCGGATACTCGATTACAAAGTCAAATCATACAATACATAATAAAATTTTAATATTTCTTTATTATGTAAAAGGTTTTATATACGTCATTTAGACAATACTGTGTAAAAAAATACGAGCTATAAAGATAATATAGATTACATAATTTTATTACATTACATTATTTATTTACATAATACTTATTCACCCAATTAATATATAATACCATTTCTAAATAGGTAATTAGGATCGTGATTAATAAGTCCGGATAATCGAATATTCGGATAATTGAGATTAATACTGTGTAGGTAATATTTAAACTCAATACATAGAATACTTTATGCACCAATTTACGCAAGAAAACACGCAAAAAACAGCTAGTAATTAATAAATCGACAACAAAATTTGTACTAAACATAGACAAAACTGATTGTTAATGTTACCTTTGAGCTGCTTGGCGATCTGCAGCCTAGCGCCAAAGCGAGTGACGCCGTATACGGTGGTCATAACGGTTTGTTTGATCACCTTCCGTTGCACGAACCCCTCTAACACCTGCGCGGTTTTTAACCCAGCCGCCGCATCACGTATACGTGCCTCCTCTACCTGTAATAATTTTTTTACATCACACAGAGAATGGCTAACATGTAACATGATAATGGTACAATAATGTATGTATATACCTGAGGGAGACTTTGTACAAAAGTCGATTGCTTGGGTACCTCTGTCCCATTCGTGTTTCAACCGTGAAGCAGTTGTGTGTGCATGGCTGTGTTTCGGTTTGAAGGGTGGGATATGGCGTAAATTTACTGGATACAGAGGAATAACACCTGAGTCCTCAGGAATGGCAACGCATGGGGGGTATCATGGGCGAAACAGTATATTCTGTTATGTCCATGGTACTGCTCATATCTATAGGCGACGGTTACCACTTTCCATCAGGTTCTTTTCGTCAGCTTGTTTGCCATTCTAAGTTGTATAAAAAAAAATTACGAGTACGTAAACTAAAAAAGCACATGACAAAACTAGGCCTAAGCCTTTTATTTGTAGACTTTGTGGCTGCAGCTTACTTACGCATAAACGATAAATCTTCTTTGGAATATATGATGAGATGATAAAAAAAAAGCTTTTTTATTATTATTAGCGACAGGAACTAGGTCTGAGATGGCAGCGTTACTGGTCTGTACGTGATGTTCGCCCCGCGTCCGCTAATAATAGAAGACGTAGAAGGTAGTACGCACGAGCGCGGCGACGGCGCTGTAGACGTCCTGCGGGCGCGGCGCGGGCGCCAGGTTGACGGCGGCGGCGCCGGCCGCGTCGCCGCCCAGCGCCGCGTAGTGCTGCAGCCCGTTGCACGAGCCGTCCTGGTGCACCGGGAACGCGCACAGGTACTCTGCGTCATTATTTGTAAAATATATATAAATATTACTCTTGTTTACATTATATTTTTGATAGATAGATACAACAATAAAAAAACATCGTTTTGCTGGTAATAGAAGCCGCCTCAGCTGTTGCTATACATACACATCTCCAGCGAGATGTACCTATATAGCGCTGATTTTCAGGCGGCTCCTTAACTCATTTAACTTTAGCATGCGTGCAGGTCGCCAATATCCATTTTTCGGATGGGAGACTCAATCAAAAAAAAAAAAAGTAAATAAAAACCTATAACCAAAACTAAAAAAAGAACAAATGCTGAATAGAAAATTATCGCAACTGACTTAGCGATTTTTGATTTTACACTACTACTGCCCACTACTATTTGCTATGTCACTGTGATAGATTGACTGGATATTTTTGCTCTATTGTAGCCCTGAATTTCCTATGAATAAATAAATATAATATCATAGTCACGTGTATCGCTCGCGCGCGACGAGTAGCCCTACCTTCAGGTCGCGTCTTTTGTAGGGTAGATACAGGGTGACAGAGACCCCTATCCTTATATACATATATTGCTTTCGCATTTTCGTAACTCCTCTCATACACGCATGATGATTTTAAAGGTTTATTATTCATCCTCTCTCATATAACAAATCCACATTCGAATTGTATAAAAAAATACTTAAAATGCCATGTTTATTGCTTCTGATCGCAACATACTATAAAATCAAAAAAAGCCCTTCACTCTTTCAGATGTAACATCAAAAGCAGATTGCAACCTATAACAACTCTCTCAACTCTGTCTGTGTGACCCTGTCACTTCAAGACGTTCTTATCTTTTATAACAGTGCATTATTTTTTAATTATAAATATCAATTTATTTCTCACCTTCTGGGTTGGACGATCTAAGAGCGTTGGCGATTTCGATACAACAGGCCAGTGTTTGCCACGGTTCCTCGGAGTCCATCCACCAGCCCTCGCCATCTAGCGGATGGTCCGCCGAGTCCAGGATTTTGTCCGTTATACGCTCTGCATATTCCAATCTGTGTAAAGAATAATATAAGAATTAGCAAGTACAATATTGGTTCAATAAATATAAGTTATATACGTCTAAGGTTGGCAACTATATCTATATCGGCGCAGCCAGCGCAGGCCGCGGGCGCCTCGCCGCCTGGCCGCCTGGCCGCCTGTCAGGGTGCGAGTACAGTGTACAGTGTACAGTGTACAGTAGGGCGGGCAGCGTACCTCTCGCGCAGCGTGGCGCGCTTCATGCGGCCGGTGAGGTTGAGCGCGTGCAGGCGCAGCCAGCGCAGGCCGCGGGCGCCGAGCGGGCGCGCGCGCGCGAACACCAGCAGCGCGCGCGCCGCGTCCGCGCCCAGCGCCGACACGTGCGGCGGGCACGCGTACACGCGCCCGCGGAAGTCCATGTTGTGCGCCAGCCAGAACCGGCTGTCCCTGCACACGCACACACACACCACACATTACATCTTATTTCCATTAAATAAGTATACGAGACGAGTGAGCCGCCGTCCTGAATGATGAATTATGAAAGACATAATCGTTAACTGTAAGCAACAAGAATTCCAGAAAGAATTTTTCTCACTTATCAAAGCAAAACAAGATAATTCAAAGCAAAAGTAAGATTACATTAAAAATTACAATATATATTTTTTTAATAATTCAGCTAATAAAGGGAACTATAAAATCACATAAAATAGTTTCTTCATCAAAGTAAGGAACATGTTTTCATCTTATATTGTACAGATTCTATAGTTTACCTAAAGTGGTTGGCGAGTGATAACTTGTATAACGCGTCACACCAGAGAGAGTGCATTTCGGCCCGCGCGCGGTTTATAGCGATACGACGCTTGAAAGCATTCGCGGCTAACTTAGTGCCGGCGCCCTCTTGTTCGCCCGGTAGCTGGAACTTTTCCGGGTCTAGCGACGACGCCGGAGGAGGGATATCTAACTTCTTATTGCCACCCGATCTGTATAGTTGAAAAATGAAATTCAATAACAGGTCCATTAAACAACTGTTAACGCGCAATTCATTTTTAAACACATTCAATAATACAACCTCAACGCCTGAAAAAATATGTATACAATGATGGATGACAATGGCTCATTCTCACAATTTATTACTCATATGACCATGGTAGACATTAATAAAGGTTTACCTGAACACTTCGAGCTGCAAGTCAAGTATCCGCTTGTTGATGGCCCACGGCACTTCGCCGAGTTGATTGAGGCTGTCCAGCGCTGGGTAAAGTGTCTCCGGGGGCGCTTCCTCCATTCGTTTCCACTGGCTCTGGACATGTAGTGGCATCCTGTCAATGTATTATTTAATAATAATAATAAGCAATATAATAAGTGTCATACAAGTAGCTAATAGGATAGTTTGTCTTATAAAGATCACGAATAACCGAGGGCACAATCCAGGATACTCAGACGGTACACCGCGCCATATACAGGTGCAAGATGCGCGCAACAGCCAGGGCGCGGGCGGCGCGGCGGCGGGCGGCGGGCGGCGGGCGCCGTGTACGTACCGTACGAGCGGCGTGGGCGTGAGCAGGTAGGCGCGGGAGGCGCGCGACAGCCAGGGCGCGGGCGGCGCGGCGGCGGGCGGCGGGCGGCGGGCGCCGTGTACGTACCGTACGAGCGGCGTGGGCGTGAGCAGGTAGGCGCGGGAGGCGCGCGACAGCCAGGGCGCGGGCGGCGCGGCGGCGGGCGGCGGGCGGCGGGCGCCGTGTACGTACCGTACGAGCGGCGTGGGCGTGAGCAGGTAGGCGCGGGAGGCGCGCGACAGCCAGGGCGCGGGCGGCGCGGCGGCGGGCGGCGGGCGGCGGGCGCCGTGTACGTACCGTACGAGCGGCGTGGGCGTGAGCAGGTAGGCGCGGGAGGCGCGCGACAGCCAGGGCGCGGGCGGCGCGGCGGCGGGCGGCGGGCGGCGGGCGCCGTGTACGTACCGTACGAGCGGCGTGGGCGTGAGCAGGTAGGCGCGGGAGGCGCGCGACAGCCAGGGCGCGGGCGGCGCGGCGGCGGGCGGCGGGCGGCGGGCGCCGTGTACGTACCGTACGAGCGGCGTGGGCGTGAGCAGGTAGGCGCGGGAGGCGCGCGACAGCCAGGGCGCGGGCGGCGCGGCGGCGGGCGGCGGGCGGCGGGCGCCGTGTACGTACCGTACGAGCGGCGTGGGCGTGAGCAGGTAGGCGCGGGAGGCGCGCGACAGCCAGGGCGCGGGCGGCGCGGCGGCGGGCGGCGGGCGGCGGGCGCCGTGTACGTACCGTACGAGCGGCGTGGGCGTGAGCAGGTAGGCGCGGGAGGCGCGCGACAGCCAGGGCGCGGGCGGCGCGGCGGCGGGCGGCGGGCGGCGGGCGCCGTGTACGTACCGTACGAGCGGCGTGGGCGTGAGCAGGTAGGCGCGGGAGGCGCGCGACAGCCAGGGCGCGGGCGGCGCGGCGGCGGGCGGCGGGCGGCGGGCGCCGTGTACGTACCGTACGAGCGGCGTGGGCGTGAGCAGGTAGGCGCGGGAGGCGCGCGACAGCCAGGGCGCGGGCGGCGCGGCGGCGGGCGGCGGGCGGCGGGCGCCGTGTACGTACCGTACGAGCGGCGTGGGCGTGAGCAGGTAGGCGCGGGAGGCGCGCGACAGCCAGGGCGCGGGCGGCGCGGCGGCGGGCGGCGGGCGGCGGGCGCCGTGTACGTACCGTACGAGCGGCGTGGGCGTGAGCAGGTAGGCGCGGGAGGCGCGCGACAGCCAGGGCGCGGGCGGCGCGGCGGCGGGCGGCGGGCGGCGGGCGCCGTGTACGTACCGTACGAGCGGCGTGGGCGTGAGCAGGTAGGCGCGGGAGGCGCGCGACAGCCAGGGCGCGGGCGGCGCGGCGGCGGGCGCGAGCGCGGCGCGCACGCGCAGGCCGGCGCGCGCGCTGCCCGCCCACACGCGCGCCAGCACCGGGTGCGGCTTCAGCTCCAGCCGCACCAGCCGCCCCCACGGCCGGTGCACCTTGTACACCGCCGGCAGCAGCTTCCTGCGATCCGACATAGTCGTATAGATTTTTGTCCACGGAAGATACTAAAATATTATTCGACCATGCCAATAACTTACTCTTTAGCTTTCGGCTTAAACATATTGACATCGATCTTCACGTCATTAATAATAATGTTATACAGGAACTTCCCAATATTTTGTCTCGTTTCCATTGGCCACTGTGTCTCTTCTATATCCTATAAATAAACAGAAAATACAATAGAATTGAAACTTAAACCATTAAAATAGTTAAATATCTATTAATTGGAATCGTGATTAAAATTATCCGGCTCCAAGGACCAAAACTGTAGGGCTTTATTTGCATACACTTTTATTGTTAAAATAAACAGTCCTAATTAATTAATATTTGTTACATTTATATTATATAAACGCCTCGTATAGCATGTGGAATACAATTATTGAAAATGTTCCTAACAATTCATATCAGATCACTGAAAGTATCTACACAATATTAACAGAACAGAACATTAATGACAAGTATGAACGGTATAGTACAAAATGCATAACACCTTAGTTTTCAAAGCTGGCATGTAATGAAGCACAAAAGAAAACTCACCAGGCTAGCGCCAGTACGGTAGCGATGTTGCAATGCTTGCCAAGCCTGGCGGCAGTTGTACGCGCGCCCGCTCTCGTCTACTGGTGACCGGTTCAAATACCACTCGCAGTACTTCTCGTAGATCTCCTCGATTTTCGCCATTGTACCGTTCTTTCTGTATTGCTCTATTTGATACCTGCATTGGTTTGAATAATAAAAATTATTAGTTGGCGAATGAAAATTGTTATGTGGTAAATAAAATGCAACAATTGTAAATCTTTTTAGAAGTAAATAAATTAAATCAGAAAATATAGCAAGAGACACTTGGTTAGATGGCATAGTGGTAATTGTTTTGTGTGTTAAAATATTAAGAGACACAAATATTGCACGAATGTGTTCTTTGAATATTACCTATTTTGAAAGAAATACACTTACAGATAAAATTTCAGAGACTTGTCTGTAAGCATGTCTCTTAATGCATACTAAAGTCTTGTGGTTCTGGGCCCAGCAAATGAGATGAATAAATTAATACCCATGTCAATATAAACTTAGAAAATGAACATCGTCATAGGATTCATAATTAAAATAATAAAATAATTTATACTAACTTGTAATATACTTGCGTGCCTAAATCCCTTTGTAATAACTTAAGTGTAGGACTGTACGTTTCACTGCCATCCACTAACTTACTCATTTCACTCATTATTAAATCTACAAACTGGTCCACCTGAAAAAGAAGCCACAATCACGATATTAAACTAATTTCTATATGAAATAATTAACTGAATTAAAATATTTGACGCTGTTCTTACCTCCAAAACCTTCAAATAAGGATATAAAGTAATAGCAGTATGAGATGCCACACTTTGTGATTTGAGGGTTCCTAAATTTCTGATAAACGCTTCTTTGATCACCTGACGCCACCGATCCTCAGTTTCTTTTAGTTTTTCTCTCTATAAACATAAAATAATTATGGAACATCCTAAATAACCAAATAATCAGTGCCATCGAACGAACATTTTGTTTAATAATCTCTGACTTAACCAATTTTAATGAATTTTTTTAAACATATATTATTAGTTGCTCCAAATTGAGAGGTATTTTTAGATAATAGTTTTTATCTCGACAAAATAAGAATTGTATCTGGTAAATAGGGTGTAAAATGACGTTTGCAGGATTAAAAATATTCACTTGCTGTTAGTGTTAGTATAAACATCCTGTTATACCACTTTCGATTACTTAACACTATAGTGTTTCATTAGATACATAACACTAAAAAAACTTACACAGAATTTCACAGTTGGTGATGATTCATCTTTGACATCGATATTTTTCACTTCAATCTCTCCTTTTATTTCTATTTGCAATTGCTTTTTGCCCATTTGTATCAATTCCTCCAAAGACACGACGCCCTCAGCAGGAGATTTATTCAGCCCTTCTCTGGCTTTTGTTTCAGTTAATTTTAAGCCCTCCATCAATGGACAATCGTAGTCAAGAACAGGGGGTGTGTACTGGGGTTTAAAGTCGGGTTGTATTCTTTTTATGGCTTCTAAAACAACTTCCCGTTGATCATAAAGAAAATTGGTTTTGTCTACTAAATCGTTTAATGTGATCCCCTAAAAATTAATTATAATGATTACCAAATTATATACGATTTCATTTATAGATAAATAATTTTGCAAACTGCTACAGAGAACAGGATTTGTATATTTGAGATTATGTATAGTCTAGCGAGGGATGGGCAACAGCGTCCCTCTTAAAACATTTTTAAAAGCCTAACTGCGATTGGCATCCCGCCTGCCAAGCGTGGCAACTACTGGCAAAACTCCCCTTATGGAGAAAGCTTATGTTCAACAGTGGACAGTTAACGGCTGAAATAAAAAATGTATAGTGGGATCTTCGATGCTGTGTATAGCATATATTATCTGTGGTATAACTTAAGCAGCTAGATAGATACGTTGTACTTGTGCAAGTGCTAAACCTTATATAATTATAGTACAAAATAAAAATGACGAATATAAACTGCCAAAAACCTTCAAAATTACAATTCGGTGATTATATGACTTAATTCATAAATAAGCGAAACTCACTTGTTTATGAATTACCACATAACTATCATAAGTATGTAGCCCAAAAACAATTTAAATACAAACATTAATCAGATAATTAAATTGGCAAACAAAGTAATAAAGTTATTTATATACACATAAAAAAAACAGTTTATTTAATATAAAATTTTGATTTACGTTTCATCATTTAACTTCGTATTAGGAGTTTTAATAGTGCATTGCAACATGATCATCATAACATTAGACTATTTAATTCATGTTGCGTAAAAAAATTAATGTAAACTGACACACTACCTTGCTATCCATCTGCTCGCAGTAATATTTCAATACTACATTTTTGTCCTCGATACTACTTCTGTGAACGCATTCGAACACCGCGGCGAAGGTCTGCGCATTCGGTTCTATCCCGTCCTCCGACATGAACGAGAGTAACTCCTTTACATTTTCTAATTCACCCTGACAAAATAGTAATAATATATTAGTCTCTACTAATCGGTAATCAATAAATTATTAATGTAGACTACTAGTTCCATTGCTGACAATATGCTCTGTCAGGTCGACCTCCACGTGGTCCCCTCTGGAAACCATCGTACTGAATTCCAGATGTATTCATCACGATGCACAGTGGGAACTTTAACTCCTTTTCATCTCATAAATCTATAACTTCCGTATTAATAAAGATATGTACATGATTTTTTTTCCTGATAATCTTAAATATATATGCTTTTAAATTATGTATGCGTTGTGAGTAAAAATTTATTTCTAATAGTTATAAATAATATAGGAATACAAGAAATATAAAATTTGTAGGCTTACATTTATGTCCTAAGAAATTTATACAGGAATAAGTAAAAGTATCTGCGTAAAAAACAAAAACTCTTATAAAGATAACTTAGAAGTCACTCAAGAGCTTTACTTCATCAAAAAGTTCTAAATATTTTTTATTGGAAGGTTTTCTTAAACTTGTATGTATGGGTCAGAGGTATATAAAAGTGCGTGTAGAACATCTTCGTTAGTGGCTACCCTCGAACATTGTCTTGCATGATGAAGCCTGAACTGTTTATAGTCTTTGTTCCGTGACTCTTGATCATCTTCTAAAAGTTGCCCAAAAGGCAAGACAGAAAAGTAACGTATCACACTTTCACAATGAATCAACACCTTGTGATTTTGCGGATAGCAAGATTCTGTAACTTCACGAATCAACTGTATGATGGAAACAATAAGCAATTCTTTGCTATCAAACAACTCATCATATTTTCTTACTGTGCCTTGTTCAGATCCAATTCTACAAAAATGCTAAGATCTTCATCTTTTGAATATGCTGTTATATTTATCGGTTCATTAAGAAAATTACTGCGTATTTCACTCTTTTTTTCTGACGGCCATGCTCGTAAAATATCAACGATGAATGCTTCATCTACTTCACCACGTGACCTTAAACCCTGTACATATGAGTTCAGTATGAAATCAAGTCCACAGGTATCAAGCAGTCCCTTGTTTTTCCGTTTCTTTATACTCTCTGAACTGTCATTGTATCTTTTAGAAGGTCTTCCTCTTTTCTCTGTCGAAGTAGTAGGTTCAGGTTCGCATGTTGTTTTTTCTAGATTTACAGTGAAAATGACATTAAACCAATTGCTATTTTGATTTAAAAACTGTTCTTTCTTTCGACCACATTTCGTATAGCGTTGACGAAACTGAGTTATGAAGGACTTCTAAATACTTGCGAATATAGCAAAAATTCTATATTCGCATCTGAAGATTCGGTAATATTATTTCGTACATAGTTTGAGATATAATCAATATAATTTGTATCACTTTCAACAATAAGAGACTTAAGTCGCGTCCGGTACACGAGACTTCACTTATTGCGGAGAGATAAGTAATTAACAATTGTTTAGAAATAACAAATGCTTATAAAGAACTGTAATATTTCATATGTAAATGCACTATTTTATACTTAATAATGATCATAGACGTGTGCAAAATTACTTCATTTAAAAAATTCATCATTATGCGGTTATGCGGTAAAGAATAGGTCTGTATGGAAATGGGAACTAAATACTATGTGAAATACTTGTTAAAAGTAACGTAAAAGATAAAATATAAAGTAATAATTGAGACAAAAGTATTTTTTTGAGTGTCCAGACAGATAATCTCAAATAAAGAAAAAAATCTTAATATACGTACTTAGAAAAAAACATTCTCACCATGATATTATACTAGATTTAAATATATTACGCAGTAAAACTGCAAAAAAAAATCTTTTGCCCTCAAATTACATTATATTTCCTAATAAATTAAACCAAAATCAGAACTTCGGCAAGCTTCGGCAACTGTCAAATCTCCAACTGAAAGTTTGAGAAAAGAAAATAATACATATAACGATATATGGTTCTTTGGTTAAGTAATATTGTACTAAACTAAATATATTTTTATTTTATAGTAAAGTACACATTCTAAGCATTTTAAAATGGTATCACACTATATGACTTCTATTGTTTTGATACTATAAAATTATACCAAACGAAATTTAAGTTTCATAATTATTTTTGTATTTTTTTCATTCCTTGACTTTAGATGCTCTGTTCTATGAAGTATGAACAGTGACAGATTTGAATCATACTTATAATGATAGAGTAACTCTTTAGCTACAATTTGAGGTATTATACATGCATATCCACAGAGTTTTAGAAAAAGTATTTATGAGATGGCTTTCTTAGGAGAGTTCCCACTGTGCGATGGGCTAACTGACCTGCATTTTCATTCTCATCATCCCTCACACATCGCTAGCGTATACCGTTATCGCAGGCGGGGTTTCCATTTCGTTTTTTTTTAATGAATGACAAATAAAAAAACTATTTTTCTATGGTCCCGGCATGGAATGGACAACCCCTTTCTTTCCCGTGGCTGTCGTAGGAAGCGATTAATGTAACTTAAACTCGAGGGATGGGCAGGAGCATTCCACTAAACATCGAAGCCTAACTGCCTAATTATCCGTCTGCCAAACGTGATAACTATTGGCACAACCCCCTTATGGGGAAGATCTATATTCAGCAGTTCAATTTAATTCAATTTATTCTATAACAATATTACATTGTGTCGAATATGATAGCAGTTTTAGACAGTACAAGTGCAAAATCACAAACAAACAAACAATTTTACATATAAACAATGTCACATACAAGTATTGAATTAAACGCAGTGCGCAGTTAACTGCTGATTTGATTATGATGAACCCTACTACATGCAAAAATTTATGAGAATGTCCATAAAGATTGATGTTTGTTACTCTTTCACTCAAAAACTACAGAACAAATCTGAATTAAGTTAAAATCTGTTAATTTGAACCGCGGGATACTGCTAGTATTTTAAATGTGAAAGTTTGTGAAAATGGTTGTTAAGTTCGTTATTGTTTTTGTACTCTATGCTTAAACGATGAATGGATTTGAATGAAATTTGGTCGACGATTAGATTATATTCTAACTTAACACACAGTATAGTTTATTCACACGAGCAAAGTCGCGGGAAATAGCTAAAGCTAAGTACAAGTCTTAAAGAAATGACCTCAATTGTAAACACATAGGCCAATGTACGACAAGATGTATTGTAAACACATTCGATTGATCGCATTTGAATATAGAACGCAGTAATGCGTGTCTTTAGTGCGAGTAATAAGTAGATATTACTTCGCAACGAGCTATTTTTTGCTCCATAAAGAAAATAATTATACTAATGCGAGATTAAAAATGAACGTAAGCTCTATCGAATATGAAAAGAATTATCGAAATCGGTTCAGAATTAACTACGTAATCGCGTAACAATCAATACAAACGATTTCTGGTAAAATTATATTTATTGATTGAAAATATATTGTAGTTAATTGGTTATAATATTTTTAACATTATTAAGATGTTACAGTTTTATTATATGCACGATAGTCTATATTACTATTTTAACTACTGATAATTTTTTTTCTTCATATTGAAGATAAGTAAAAATGATAGATAAAAAAATCTGAACTAGTAGTTTTATAAAAACAGACTATTTATTCGACACATTAAAAATGACGTTTTTATTATCAATTATAAGACAAAGCATGATCTATATTTGGATATTTGTCACTTGCGTTGACGTACTCGTTTGCGTCTTTCCGCGTCTTAGCACAAAAGCTAAAGTAATATATTTGTCATCATTATTTTAGTCACTAATCTAACCTATTACCAGAGGGAGACTTTGTACAAAAGTCGTTTGCTTGGGCACCTCTGTCCTATTCGTGTTTCTATCGAGAAGCAGTTATGTTTGCATGGTTGTGTTTCGGTTTGAAGGGTGGGATATGGCAGTGAAACAGGGTACAGAGGAATAATACCCGAGTCCTCAGGAACGGCAACCCATGGGGAGTATCATGGGCAAAACAGTATACTCTGTCATTCCCCTAATACGGTTCATGTCTATAGGTGACGGCTACCACTTTCCATCAGGTGAGCCGTCAGGTTGTTTACCATTCTAAGTTATATAAAAAAATCTAGCCCTCCATATAAACTATAACTGAACGGTCCTGAACCATCTTCATCCGCTGATAATGCATTTGAAGTCGTCACACCATCTAATAACATTTATATGATAATAATCTAAATCATTAAAATCCTTTTAAGGGATTGTTGTGTTGAGATGTAATACTTTTCTCAAAGAAACATGAGTCAATCAACGCTAAAGAAAAATTGTATCTCCCATACTAACACGGCGCGCCCAGCTGTTAAGTTAGTCAACTCAATTACTTTTATAGAATTTTCATTCATGAAAAAATATTTTTTTTTTGTATATATCTTAATATATTCTATGATATAAGTAGATTTTTACAATTAAATTCGCCTAAGAAATTCGGTTTAATCCTGTACAGTCTTAATTATATTTTAATTATTATATTATGTAAAGATTTCATTTTATCACAGATTTGGTGTTCATATCTGTTGATAAAGGAAAGTTTCTTTTTCAAGATTATGCCGCATGTGCTTCATAAAATAAACAAATGTATGAAACCAAAACTTACCATTGACGCATATCCATGTAGGAGAGTATTATAAATTTTCACGTCATTAACTTTGGGGTGATCTGGGACCCTGGAACTCCGTTGTCTATAATACTGGAGAACCTGTCGGCCCTGTAACAATATTCACTCCTTTAATTAGTATATAGTATACAATGTGAATAAAAAAAAAAAAAACAAAAATCCTATTAACATTATTAATGCAAAAACTTGTAATGATGGATGAATGTTTGTTACATATTATACATGCAAGTACTCAAGTAGGATTTGAATATAATTTGGTACAAAGGTAGATTATATCCTAACTTAGCAAAGAGGTAGAGAGTAAATATGTACTGATTCAGGCGAACGAACCCGCGGGATACAACTAGTTAAGTATAAATATCATTACTTTGCGATTATTAAAATTAATGGTAGTGTGGCCCTCATAAAAAAATTCTCTAATTTTAAGATTAGTAATCAACCGAAGCGAGGTTGGCTATCATCAACTGTTTGTCTGGTTTAGAAAATAATTTATATTCTGTATATATTTATTTAACTTCTATGTACATAAATCCAACATGTGAACCTTATATATGCTGGCACTACACTTAAAGGCATTCTTTATCAATTTAATGCTAAATACGTAATATATGATGAAAATTTAAATTTATGAACTTTATCAAAAGTACAATGTGACAATTTAGTATCTAGCTTATCATTCATGTTTGATTTGCAGATACTAACTACTCGTAGATAAGAGCCCACCTAGTAACAATCTGGGTCAGATACATTTTTTAAATTTATAAATTTCACTTCCTCAATTTGAGATATAAACTTATGAGCATCTTATGTACAAATATGCGTAATATAATTAATGAAATAACTATCATTTTACAGTTACTTTTATATTAAAATCCACAAAAAAAATAAGTAGAACACTCCACATGAGATGTTAAATATGCAAAAAGGGAGTATAATTTACATTTTTCAACAAAAAATAAGTATTCTAATAAAACAAAACTCTTTCGATAAAAAAGGTTTAATTCATTGCTGTTCTAATTTTTAATATGAAGGGAAAACTTACAGCATAAGTAACTTAAAATATTTATACTTTTTCACTTTCAACAGTGTATATCAATAAAATAAAACAGTCTTAATTGTAATCTCATTTGATAATACCTAGACTGACTGAAAGATAGAAAGTTCACCAATAATCAATGTATCACCACCAATGTATTGAACAGTACAATACTATTCGATACATTGATTCAAAATTAACTAATCAAAAAAAATCTTTTAAACTATGAAAGCTATGTTAATTATTACAAAATATTTGGGATCTTCTAACTATCCACTTGTGTGAAGCCATATCGGGTAGGTAGTGTACAAGACATGGGCAAATATGTGGTACCTCGTGCACCATGCGCAGTGAGCACAGCACGTCGAGATGCGCGGCGAGCGTGCGGTGCAGCGCGAGCTGGCGGCCGCGGCGCTGCAGCGAGCGCCGGTCTTGCTTCATGCTCAGCTCCTGCTGAGCGCGGCGCCGCTCACGGACTTCCTTCTTTTTACGTTTTAACTCTTGTTTGCTATTAACAAATAAAAAAACGCTTTTATAACCTGTTGAAAAGGTAACTGAAGTTTTTTTGAAATTATCATTAATTTTAATTAGTAGCAAATAACAACATTCTATCATTAATAGATTTTCTATTTGTACTGCTATTAGACTTCTATACACTGCTTTAGGGTCTCCTCAATCCAAATTTGTTTCTTTACATTTTTCTTAAGCCATACAAAAATAGCTTGTTTGCCAGTCTAAGTTGTATAAAAAAAATCAGATTCAAAAATTATATTACAAATACTACATATCTATAACCACTACTGTCCTCTCATCCTTATTTACAACTTGATTACTGACTTAAAATTATTCTATAATGACTATATTAATGTAATTTTGGATAATTCTCTCTTATTATTATCTCTAATATTACAGAAAAGAGTTCTACTGTCTAACACAATGCATCATGTTTTAGTTTAAATAGTGGAGAATAAACCCACACTAACCTTGATTTAACATTTTATTTCAAATGGGATGGATGAAATGATTTTTGGTAACAACAGTTTAGTCACATCTATTAAACTGTTCAGCTCATATGTACGGCTAAATAATCCAAATAATCTAACATTATTCTACTGTCTTTAACATTCATGGTGGTGTTATTCTTTGATTATTGCTATTTAGTGAATTTAATATTTGAATCTTTAGCAGTGTTCACCAATTTATTTATGAGAGTAAGAGTAATTTAAAAAGTTGACATAATTAACAAATGTTAGACATGATCAAATGTCATGACCTTTGTAATCAATTGGTGTAATGAACTATTAATTAGGTGGCTGTAGCCCCACTCATGTACAAACAATATATCTCCTTCAGAATATACACTTTGTATCTTGACGAGATAAAACATCACTACTGAGAACATCTTAAAATTTCCATCATTGAAAGGAATTAACAATAAACTTCAAAAAAGAAAAAAAGAGTGGGCACAATAGATCATAAAGGTTGCAGAGGTTTATCTGTCTAACAAAGCCCATTTTTCAATAATAAGACATCGGTCACAATTGTCTTGATTATTATTTCATGATTTACTATGCATTGAGAACAACCGATGGTCAAAATTAATTAAAAACTAATGTTTATAATATTTACTTTTTTACTAAATTTTCTAATAACTGAATTTACTTTTCCCATAATTAATATAATACTACTACTCATATTAAGGGCATTGACCTTCATCAAACAGAAGGCCTCTGACATTACTTACCTGATGATAGCATTATGTGCCCTCCAAAGAACTAAAATTAATATGATATTATTATCATATAACATTAATATCATGTGAATTAATCATACTAATAAAGCTACTTTATTTTCTAAACAATCAACTTACGCTTTCTGGACCTTCAAACTTTTAACCATATTTTCAGCTGGTTCTATATGCTCAAAATCAAAATCTTCATGTTCTTCAGTTATTTCACTGTGCAATGCAGGATCATCGCAGAAGTCATCAATGACAGGATAAGCTATTCCCTGTGCTCTACAAATAAAATTGTTTTTGTTCACAAATGTAATGACCATAAAAATTATTAAAGTGAAATTTCAGATACAATATTTCAGATTTAATGAAACTAAATTAAATATATAATTTAATAAGCTTACTTTGTCTAATTATTAAAATATATATACATTAAAAATAATCATAACTATATATAAAATATCTATTACATTTGCTTAATCTAATTAAGTTACAAGGAACACTTTTAATTTAAAATTAAAACTTGCTTTATATCAATTGTTCCATTGCAATTTCTTTTTTAATATTTAGCTATGTTTTAAATTATTTCAATCATTAAGAATTAAACAACCAATTCTAAAAGTTAGTAAATTTAATACAAATGAACTGAAAATAGTGCATATCAAACAGGTATAGATTTACAATACTTTACATTCAAATAATATACTTACTGCATGTTAGATATGTGTGTCATAAGTTCTTGATCATAACTATCCAGTTGATTTTCTATAAACAACTCTCTAAAAACTGCATGAGGGCTCTTTGGTAGAGACTGTGATTCTGAACTTTTCTCCATTTCAGTAATTTCTTTTGTAGATACATTAAAATCAAACTGTTGGTTCAAACCTTCATTAATGGCATATCTGAGGTCTTGCAACTTTTGATCATACAATGTAGCCTTTCTAAAATTATAGTAACTTTCTTTCACCATATTTATATAATTTTTTGTTTTAAACTTGTCTTCCATTCCAGGAATTTGATTATTTGTATACACTAAGGCGCATTTGTCATCTTCCAGCACTATCTTCTCTGATTCAGGTACGGAAGACTGTTTCAATATTTTCTCTCTTACACTTTGAAGTAATTCTGGATCAACTTGTTTTATACTTGGTGATTTCTTATCTGATTTTGTTTTGTTTGTTAGCTGATGAAGTTGACCTAATGATACAGGACTAGTAGCTAGTTTTGAAACATGTGATGCATGCAATTTACTAATAGATACTTGAGTTTCTGTCATTTCTTTGTCACCAACTGAAAAATAATATAAATATGAAACATCACAATGATGTGGGCGGTTATAAACAAACAAAATAACAATACAAACCTTCCAATAGTTCTCCATATTTTTTGTAATTTTTATGTTTAGCCTTTTTTCTCAGGGATTTCAATGCACTAACAGTGCGTGTGGATTGATGTCTAAAATTAATGTAGTTTTCTGGAATGATACCGAAAAGTTACGCAATTAGAATTTAGGTTATTTTTTATAAAAATGTTGAATTAATATACAAATAATTATAAAATAGATGGACACAGGATAAAGTTGATAATATACCTGTAATGTAAAATCCAAGAAGATTTTTCCGACAAAATAAACATTTATTTTCAGAAAACGATGTGCTTTGGAGCGAGTTATTGGCTGGTATTGAAATTCCATGAAAACTACTTTGGCAAATATTTCTAGCTGAAGCAAGTCGATGCATTTTTCTCTTTTGTTTAATTTATAAAATTGGTAACCATTATAATTAAGCAGTATCTATTATAAAACCCACGTGAAAACCATTCAATATAACATATAGAACCAAAATAAATGTGACAGAAAGAAAGAGTGTTGCTACTTTACCTACTAGTGTTACTACGCATTTATTGCCAATTGTAAAATAAAGAAGGCAAAGCAGTTCTATCTTTAATCTATAAACGGCACTATGAATGTTTGATTCAAAGCTTGATCTTCTGCTACGAGTACTACCCTTAATTTTAATCTACTACCACCAAAATACAACGAAAATGCTGAAGTTAGCAAATCTTAACGAAAAGTACTCTATCTTTTATCTCTTTTCGATGTCAAATCACTTGTCTGTCATGCAATGTGTTGTCTTGTTAATGTTGTCATTGTCATGTGTAAAAAAAATCTATTTGCTTTTTTTTGTATATTTTTTAAATATTAATATAAAATTAAATAATTTATTGTTAATTATAATTAAAATTTAGAAAAGTTACAAAGCTCTTATTCATAAATTTAAGGATATAAACATTAATTAAGAACATGGAAGAGAAAACTTTTGTTTGTTAGTACCAATTTATTAAACAATATTTTGTCATGATAAATCTATCAATACAATCGTTTTACTTATTTCTAATTGGTATATATATTTACAGGGACTTCAGACCTTAACAAGAGACTTTTTCAGTTACGATTTGATAATGATTGGCTATTTAAAAAAAAGAAACAACCTTGGAGGTAAGCCTTACCTATCCTAAAATTAAATAAGACAATTCATGAAATTTTTATAACGAACTTTACTATACGTAATAATGGGTCCTTCTAATATTATTAATTTGCAAGTTCGTAAAGATGTTTGTAGGTAATGCACTCACTAATGCTGAAATAGTTAAATGAATTTGAATAACATTTGGTACATAAGTGGGGCTTTGCCTGACGTATCCTGTGTATTAAGAACACACAGGATACATCAGGCAAAGTCATGAGAAACAGCTAGTAGGTAATATTTCACAATCTCATCAATCATATCCAAAAGCAAAATAAATATTTTAATATTTAAATGTAATAACTACCAATTTAATGTACTTGTAATGAGATTGAGAAAGCTTGGTGCAGTGACGCGAATGTGAGCCTGACTACATGCTTCAGCCCACTGAGTTATTACATTAAAATATAATGTAACTTTTAACAATAAAATAATTTCCTTCCTATAAATTGATATAAATATAACACATTTTCAACTGTAGGAGGTTTGGTTATAATTTTCATTTCCACAAAATAATATGAAAGGAAGAAAAAAAATATTTATTGCCAAAAAAAAAGAGATACATTAATTATCAAGGGAAAACAAACTTTACATCTTGTTATTGCCAACGTCACTCAGCATGTGCTACAGTAAATTAATTGCTACAGTGCTGATATTCTGTGGTGGCCATGTGTGACATCATGAATGATGACAGTAAAAAAACTTTCTATGTCGTATGAAAAGATTTTATGTCGTGGTACTTTTAAACATATAGAAGCTGCTCTTAAATTATATACTACACTGTGCCTATGATAATTTATCATATATATATATATATATATATATATATATATATATATATATATATATATATATATATATATATATATATATATATATATATATATATATATATATATATATATATATATATATAATATGAAAGTAATGTAATAACTACTGGACCAATATCGGTCAATTTCGGTACGAATAAAAACACGACATTGAGCCTGAAAATTTCATTTCATGGTAGACCCCCTGGTTGTGTATTGATGAACATCATATTTTTATTTTTTCATACTTTCTTTTAATTGTGCAGGGAATTCTACAAAATATTATTGGATAATGGTTTTCCAGAAGAAATGACAATAAATCATGTTAGAAAAAAATGGTCATACACTTATGATGTAAGTATAACAATAATAAATTTGTTCTGTGTCTAACAACTGTATGTTAAATTATTATTAACTGAAGTTATATGTTAGTGAATAAAGTTTTAAATTTTATATATAATATATATTTAATGAAAGATTGTTCTTGGTTTTATGTAAACATGCTGTTAAATAAATAAATGTTTATAGTTCTGTAATCAATATTTTTGATAAATACATATAGTATTATTTGTTACACAAATAAAAATCAAAATTACAATCAAATAAAACTTTATTTCAGATGTACAAACTTGCCAAGAAAACAAAAAACAAGAGTTGGCCATATTACAAAATCTTTGACAAACATTTTGGTAAAAGTAAAATATTGGATAAGTATGAAAGTTGTAAGTAATTGAATACTAATTACTATTATTACTATTTTTAGGAAAATTATCGTAAGAAATAAGAAAACATGAACACATCTGTCAACTACTCTCTCCCACCATTTTTCTCTTTTCTCCATATCTATCCTTACCACATATCGCTAAACATATTTCTATATCTATGGTCACCCCCGTAAGAGCGCCGCCTACGATATTGACTAGGTTTAGTACACATACATTTTATTCAGAATGTAAAAAAAAATATTAATTTTCTATATTAAAAGAATATCAGATAAAATTTTCATGGCCTTATTTTTACTTATGGTAAGGATAGAGAGTACATAATATCCTTTTAATGCCCGTTGACATCATAGATGCAATATACAGATTTTATGAACTATTATTGTTTTTAATAAATATAGATAAAAAGAGAAATAGAAATTAAAATGATATTTATATAGAAGATCTATACTATACTCTGTAATTATTCATAACAATACTTTTTATATAATTATTTTTTATATTACCGTGGTAGTAAGGAGTAGTAAAAAAGCATTGGGTTCATCTGATGGTAAACCATCACTGTAGTAAATATCTATCTATACATCGTCAAAAACTTGCGTTTATAGAGTAGGATAAGTAAAATGTAAATATTACAAATAATTTCTCTTTTTCAGGGAGCGATGAATGGCGGCTAAAATTAATACTGTGTATATCAGAAGCAAAGGAGGTTAAACTAGAAGATTTTCAAACTATGTGGAGGTGCATAACTTATGTATATATATATATATATATATATATATATATATATATATATATATATATATATATATAATAACTCGTATAATTATATACTAGACTTTCACACACAATTTCACGTCTGGAGTGAATCAAAATTGCTCGACTGTTTAATTTAACCATCTATAATATAATATATAAAATAAATCCATAAATAGCACTGGACATATTACACAGTATCAACTAGTCCTAAACAAAGTATAAACTACAAGCAACAGAGAGAATCGCTAGCAATTTCATGAGATAGAATGAGATGGCAAAATGCATTGTCTTGCTCTTTTTCATGTGGGCGCCGAATGCGATGCTATCAATAGATTAATTTGTACCTTGTCTACTGGGGCGTAGTTTTCTTCGGCTAGCGCTATAAGCTATATGGATACTAAAGAATTACATACTCGAATACTTCTTTTTTGATATATATTAAATACTATATACGGAATCAATACAAACAAACTCGTGAATACAAATGTTTATATTGTGCGGGAATTGAACCCGCGAACATCGGAAGGTAAAGCGATGTGCCACTAGACCATCAGTCATTAAGGTGTTGTTGTTCAATCAGCTATTGATTGTTAATTAATCTGCTATTCCATTTTACATTGGAATATAAAAAAAAAAAAAAATACTTGGGTGCTTGCGTATTGTGTAAAAAATATCATTACACTTTATCTTACACCGGAATAACGTACCTAATGTGATTTTATGGCAGAAATTTAATCAACCAACTTAAAAAAGGAGGTTCTCAATTCTTTTGTAATTTTTTTCTATGTTTGTTATTTCATAACTACGTCAATTGTAAATCCATTTGAGAAATTTTATTTTTATATCTGTAAGGATATACTTACAGATTGGTCCCGTAGAAATTTTATCAAATCGGTATCATCATATCAGTAGTTTAGGTTTTAATTAAAATAATAAGATCTATATTTGTCACAGTTAGTAAATAATCTTGGTATTTCTTTTTATTGAAATAACAATATAAAATAAATATATAGTTAATTGTTTTTACAGAACTGTAGAGAGAGCAATGAGGAGCCAAGATTTGCCTAATGATTGTTGCATACAGGATATGAAGGGATTATGGCAACATATCAGAACAACTTTCAATGTAAGTAAAATTTGTATATTTGGTAATTCGTTTAATATTGTAAATGTGACATGTTTGGATGTTACCCAACCACAGATTAACAACCAAATGGATTTAAATAAAATTTGATACACAGATAAACATTTTTTTTTGTTCTCATTCACGTGGGTAAAGACACGGTACGCAATACTAGTACTTTGTACTTTCCATTTTATTAATATTTAGTATTTATTTACGCAATTATAATATATATATATATATATATATATATATACACTATAATATTATAATTGCGTAAGTAAGTTTGATTGTTTGTTACCTCTCTTAGCACCTTAATAGTTTATGTAATCTCTCTAACATTTTATATACACGTACTGTATGGAGAAGTACTTAGGCTATTTTTATCCTGGCCAGTTATAATATTCCGGTCACGCGGACAAAGTCGTCGGACAAAGTTTCATGTAATTTTATCAAATTTCAGAGAAAACATCGACTAAAAATGAAAAAAGGCGCCGAGTTGACCGAGTGGCCGTTATACGATGCAATGATAAAATATTTTCAACTGTATGAACCTGACTATCTCATCAACTTGGAGAAGGAAACAGCTGGTAATTTTATGGTGAGACAACGGAATACAAGCAAATATTGTAAAAAGAAAAAGGACACCGACAAGAACGGAGAGGATGATGAGGGTGATGAGTTTCAATGTAAGTTAAATTTTAATACTCATACTTGTGGCTCTGTCATATACTATTTTCATTTCCCAGAATTCTCATGCAAAGGCCAAAAAAGGATTTGCTTTTATGCATTTCACATTTCTAGACCTGTATTATAGTGTTTTAAATCAGTTTTAATTATCTATTTTGTGTATTAAAGCATTTACAAAAAAAAACATGTTGTATTTCATTAATTAAGATTGTTTTTCACAAAAAACAAGACTTAATTTGTGGCAGAACTAGTTGTTTTCATTTAAAAACTAAGCTACTTAACCGAATTTGATAAAATTTCTATAGGACCAATCTCCTTTCAGATAAAATAATAATTTTTAGAATCTGTTTACAACTTATGGAGTTATGAGGAAACAAACATAAAAAAATACAACCGAATTGAATACCCTTTTTTTAAGTTGGTTGAAAAAATCTAATTGTGAAACCATACCTACTGCAAATCATCTGCAGGGTTTGCTAAGCAATAGTGTTTGCATAACTGTGTTCCACTGTTTATAACACTTCGGTCATCAGGGATGACAATACAAGATGTGGTAAAATGGACGTCACAGTATATTTTGTGTTATCACATTGTGTAAAGTGGACCGTTAGCCTATTTACCATTTCGAGTTATATGACAAAAAAACATCTAGTTATTGTATCCGTCCATTGCAGCAAATATATTATTTTGGGTGTTTTCTCGAACAAAATTGTCCCTAAAAATGTAATGAGCTATCGTTACATTTTTAGGAACAATTTTTTTTACAATATATATGCTCCTATCACTTTATACTCAAAAAGGTGAATATATTTAAATTCTCTATTTCATCAGGGTCAAAACATATAACCGAGACATTTATACAAACCCGTTTACAAAATGACTGGATATTCAAACAAAGGAAATGGGCATGGAAGTAAGTAGATTTTAATGATGATTTTTTTTCTTCATTAAATATTTGAAATTATATTTTTTGTTATAATATTTATGTTTAAAAATTATGAATTGGGATATTTAGAATATTATAATTTAAGATAATTTAATTTAATATCCATATTCAGATAAATAAATGAAATAAATTGTTTCAGCGATCTATTGGCGATTATGATAGAGGAATACGGATTTCCCGAAACATTAACAAGTAGAGAAATTTCTAGAAAATGGGCGTCAACATTTGCAGTGAGTATAACTACATTAGTGAATTCGCGGGACTATTGAGCGGCAGTTTAATGGACTCGACCTGAATCAAGCTCGTATCTATACCTGTTTGTTAGCGAAAAATGACGTGGACCGTCTTTCAATAAATCATGAATCAATTAACAAATCAACAATTTCTAGACTTGTATGCATGATTCTGTTTCGATTTAAAAGATATATATATATAGAGTAGCAATGTTACTAAGTACAAAGTCTAGCCAAGTTTAGTACGACAATTCATGAGCGGTACTAAAATGTATTCTGTGATGTTCATGTCTATAGATGAGAGTTACAGTTTCACAAGGTGTACTATCAACTTGTATATTATTCCATGGCTTCCAAAATTACAATAATAATAGTTCATATTTCTCAGGAATACCAAAAAGCCAAGGCCACAAATAACAAATCATGGGTATACTACAACCTGTTCGAGCTTTACTTGGGCGAAGGAACCCTCAGTCTTAATCCATTAATTGGGTGTAAGTAGAATTAATATAAGTTCTCTTCTCAGAGTCATCATTTATTAAAGTATATATTTTGTGAGGACCTTGACGATTTAACACACCGCCTCACCTTCCAATGGTCGCGAGTTCAATCCTTGCACAATATAAATATTTATGTACCTTTTGTTACCTAATATGTACGTACTTACGAAAGTATTTAAGTATGTTTATCAGTCATCTAGTACTTATAATACAAGCTCTGCTTGGTTTGAGATTTAATGACATTGGTTAATATGTCCAGTTTTTTTTTTATTTAATTTGAATAACTGTATTGACCCAAATAATTATGGTACAAAAAGCGGACTTAATGTTAGTAGCGGATATATATATATATATATATATATATATATATATATATATATATATATATATATATATATATATATATATATATATATATATATATATATATATATATATATATATATATATATATATATATATATATATATATATATATATATATATATATATACACACAACTAGGTAGATATATAAAATATTATGACTAGATACTGTTGTTGTAATGAGTTCATAAAGTGAGCATGGCCTTTTTTTATTTAGTGTTTATATTTCTGATTTACTCTGGAGTTTTGTTTTAATATTTCTCATATTAAATATCCTGATTTTTCAATCGGTAATCAAATTAATTGGTGAAATGATTTAGGTTTATACATAACTTTAAATACATAAAAATTATTAGATAATATATATTTTTAACAGGGCAAGAGGAATGGGTCTTCAATCTAATAAGTGCAAGAACAGACTTGGAACACCTGTTTAAATTCTCATTGCGAGACCCGAACCACGGTTGGAGGTAACCAGTGAAACTTAATGCCACTATTCAATAATTTTGTTTAAATTTATATTTAAGAGTTAAGACAATTATTACTCTTAGGCATTGTCTCTTACAGGGAAGTTGAGAAAAGGTTACGTAACATCGGATTACCATTTGATCATAGTTTACTAGATCTACCGGAAATATGGACGCACCTTTTAAAAACGTTCAGGGTAATTTTTATTGTCTTAAATATTAGTGTACATTTTATAATTGAAAGCACAGACTAAAAATTGTACCACACTATATTAGGAAATACATACTTAGTCTTTGTTAACATTACAATGTTAATCTCATTAATCTAAAAAATATTAAACAGATTTATCTGTAAAATCAAATGTAATAAAACTCTTTTATTGAAATATTTCATTCCTTTCTTTTAATTTAAAAGAAAGTGACAAAATATGAGTCATTTACAAAAATACTATTTAGTAAAATTTACTGTTTAGAGAATGAAAAACAAATATGATTTGATTAGTTCTTTTCCAATAATGAGCTCTATATAAAATATAAAAAATATATTTCAGTGGAAACAGAAATTCTTGAACAAGGGCATTCTAAACGAGCAGTGGCCGTACTACGAAGCGATCGCACAGTACGTGGAAACGGAGGCGCAACATCGGCCGGTGAAGAAACAAAAGCAGGAAGAGCAAGAACATTACGACGACGTGGCGATCGATGACGATCTGGAAGACGATATGAAGTTGTTAGAACTGAAGCAGCGGTTGCAGGTGAGGCTATGTTGCATGATAACCGGAAAATCCGGAAGAATCCCCCAATTTTTCCGTCTAGCCTTGTACCTGATATTTATACTGTTATCATTATTTCAGCTATTAATTGGTCACTATTAAACATAGGTTTTTCCCATAGACTGCCATAAGTAACGGTCAAGTGCCACCTACTATCGTTTATAATTTATTGTCCCCAAAATTCGCAATGTTACCATTAGTTAAAAAAAAATATCTTTTATTAAATATAATTAATATGAATGAATGAATGAATGAATGAATGAATGAGTATACTTTATTTGCATTATACAATATAGGAAATAGGCAAGGCAATTTACAAACACAACGATACAATTGTATAAGTACAGTAGGTCTTATTGCTGAGAGCAATATTTTCAAGACAACCTTAAGGTAATGGATTAATTGTTGTACAAGTAGGTATAATAGTGCGATATAATTAAAAAAAGCATCTTTTGCAAATTAATTAATTAATTAATAAATAATATCTGATGCTACTGTAAAGTTACTATAGTAATTGGGATTAATGACTCCATTGCAAGTAATGGTAGTACATTGTTTGCAATAGGGTCCTGATTTAGTTATTAGGTCGACTTCCACGCTATTGTAGCTGGAAACCATCATAGCGAACTCATATTGTAACTGATTGACTTCATCTTTATCTGTCATCCCATAATGGTACCCCACCAGTGTATGAGTGAGCAGGTAACGCAGGCGGGATTACTATTCTATTACCATCTCATTAAATATGATAGTTTTTTTTTTAATGGGTGAAAATGGTATGGTAACCCCGCCTGCGCTAACGGAATACGCTGGCGGAGCACCAGTGAAGGGTGATAGATGAGAATGAAAACAGGCCAGTTAGACCATCATGATGAATTCATCAGGAATTAACCATGTTAGTTTCCAGGGGGAACCGCGAGGAGGTCGACTTGGTTGGGTAAATTGCTAGCAATGGGATTCTCAGTCTCTATTACTAACAATCCCGTTCCCCCCTAAATATGATAGTAAGGTACTATTAATAGCGTCCTCTATTGTACCTGATGCTGATTTTTGTAGAGATGTCATTTTTATTTTATATTTTTTAACTGATTTTTATGTATGGTATGTTATGTAACTACAATTTAATAATCATATTTTTTCTAACGTTCATCATTAATTGGAATAGTTGGAGCTCCAACTTCATCTCCATCATAAAGATGGAGGAAGACTCCTCTCCTGAATTGTTATAATAACAAAATTCTATGTGGCAACACTAGGTACGACCGAAGCGCGAGGCCATCGACCCGAACCAGTGCCGTACTTGTTACAGCGAACACGGCAGCGTCGATATCTTCGAGCAGCGGGATGACGATGATCCAGATATCGCTCAAAAGTTGAGACTCATCGGTGGAATAGAAGTAAGTGTTTGGAATAATAGTTTATTTGCTTTAAAGTAAATTTCTTTATGATGTGAAGGAATAAGTTTATACAATGTGTCACCTTCTTTTCACATTCCTTTTGAATCCCTATTGTAAGAGATTACTACTAGGAGAAGAAACTACAAGAGAGATACCATCACCAATACTTCCATAGACCATATAAAACTCGTCGTAAGGAATCTTAAAGAGTTTAATAAAAGTTAGCATGGTTTATATATTATAATATAATGTAAATATTAACCCTAATTAAAAAAATTTACACCCGATACCAGTTAGTAGGATGATCAGTCGACTTTCGGACGCACGGCTAGAATGAAACGGAACCGTGCGCCCGGAGGTTGACCACAATCTCACAACTTTATACTTACGTCTGCTATATCAGCAGACTTAGCAGCAAGGGTATTGGACGGCACAGAAAATGATACACAATATTTGTATGGAAAAAAAAACATAAAAGATATAGATATATAGATAGATACTCTTTATTGTTTCCTCCAAAAGATTACAACAGTAAACCTATTATAAATATAAACAATTACAAGAAATAATCACAATGAGAAAACAATGGCCGACCTTATCGCTTTTAGCGATCTCTTCCAGGCAAGTTTTGTTAATATGGAAAAAATAAATAAATATTAAAACAAATTCAATAATTAAATGGAATAAAGCAAATAATAAAGAAACAAAATAAATAATATTATCATTATAACAAATAAATTGATAATAAATATAATTAATAATTACTACAGTAAATTCAACTTACTAAAAACAAACATAAAAATATCCATAGAGTCTGCAAGCTTATCTCAGTGTAAATAATTCATCTAAACCGTAGACCATATTGTAACTACATTAGCATAAATAATACAACTAACTGATTATAATTATCAACGTACCAATAAAATAAATCGGGGGAAAGGGACTGTTAGTAATGGGATCTAATGAACCCATTGCTAGCAATACATCCTATCAAGTCGACCTCCACGTGGTTCCCCCTGGAAACCATCGTGAACAATTCTTGTTGAATTCGTCACGATGGGCTAACTGACCTGCTTCATCCTCACCTATCATCTCTTACTGGTGCCCCGCCAATGTATACCGCTAGCGCGGACGGGGCTACCATTCCATTATTATCCATTAAAAAAAAAATCGACGGTAAATCCAAGTAAAACCAATTCTAAATAAAAATAACACGTACACCCGAGTGCGAAGTATCTAAATAAACTCCTATACCAAAAAGCAAAGAGTCAGTACAGTGTAACACAAAGTATTAAGCTCCTGTTAAGGGCTAATGTATAGGATCTTAATAACTTGTCATCCTTACAATAATGTGATAACGATGAAAGAAAATACACATACACTGCCCCATGGAAATCTTAAACTACCGGTATCTACTATTTTCACGATCTTCGTAGCTTGGCACGATGCTCTTTGTAATTGAGGTTTTGTATTAAATTATCGGTCAAGCTACGAGTCATTTAGGGTAACCTCTAAATTGATTCGTACCTCCATGTTAAGTGTTTGAAATAATTCACACTTGCGATTTCTTACAAACGTGATATTCGATTCCTCTTGCAGCTTGCAGCGTATTGTTACGGTGTTAATGACTAATTGCATATTGCTTACTTTGTAGACATTCTTTTAGCAAAAATTTATTTTTGAAAGGACTAAGTAAACATTGTTTCTAAGAACGCTTTCTACGAATACTTTTAAGTTATTTTAAACGATATATTATTACATAGAGTATGGACAATTGTACTAATAAAAATAGTATAATACAAAAGTACTTTAGTAATTAAAATATAATGTTCCTCCACGCCATGAAGAACGTAGTGTAATCATAATAAGTTATTAAAATGTTTTATATAATATTTTCATTTTTTATTTTGTATTATTAGATATAACAATAAAGAGTTATTATTTTTATTCAGATGACCCCAATCGATGCAACAAAGGCATTTTATAAAGATTATTTTATCTTTTGTTAAAGGTAGAGAAATCTGATAATTTACCGTCACACATCTGCTACAACTGTTTACGAGATCTTGACGTCGCATATAAATTTAGAAGGAAATGTCAAGAAGTCGACAATAAATTCCGTTGCACTGATATGCTGGAAATTAAAATAGAAAAACACGATGACGACGGCAGGCACTATAACGATAGCACAAAGAATGAGCCAGAAAGAAATGACTCGGACGATATGGACATACATTTCGATGATTTAGAACCCGGTGAATCTATAGCAAAGACAGTAAAGCCACCGGTAAAGAAGGAAACAAAAACGGTTGTGAGGAAAAGAAAGAAAGTGCGCAAATCGAAATACGACTACTGGAAGATTTGTGAAGTGTGCGGAAAGCATACGAGGAACTTGGTGAGTCATTTGGACATGCATCTATCGGGGAAACATTACTCCTGCAACGTATGTGACAAGAAGTTTAAATTCAAGAGCGGTCTAGTTATACACAAGGCTATTCACGACCCCACGCCGCGGAAAACGTGCGAGGTTTGCGGGAAAGCGTTCCATATTTTGGCTCAGTACAGGCGACACTTCGTGTACCACGCGAATGAAAGGAAATTCGAGTGCGAAACGTGTGGGAAGCGATTCAACACGATGGATATATTGAAAGTGCATAATAGAATGCACACGAACGAAAGACCGTTCAGTTGCCAGGAGTGTGGTAAGACGTTTAGAACGGCCGGCTGCGTAAGTAGGCACAAGAGAATTGTACATAAAAATATTAAAGTTCAATGTAAAATGAATGAATAAAATTTTAATAATTGTTCAAAATGTTTCTTTGTTATTATTAAATTTACTTTCCTAATCCTAATATAGGTGGTGTATTTGTTACTGATGTATATTTTATATATCAACCCATATTCTTTAGGAAAGTTGATTATCTTGACTATAGTCTAGATTTTCAATTAATATATCTTTTTGTTTACAGCCTGTATAATAAAACAGAAAATAGCGAAAGCTGTGTAACTAAGACTTATTATTTACTATTAATTTGGTTGTTTTTCTTTACGTATTGTATTTACATTTTTTGTTATCACAATGTTTTTGTTTTTATAAACTTGTCTTAGGAAGAATTATTTTCCAAAGGTGACATCATTAAAAAAATTGATGATAACAGTCTATTGTACTACATAAATAAATATGCGTAATTGTAATTTACCAACAACTTTAAGAAGAGTAGATAAGCAGCTGTTTGTATTTGTTATAATGCTAAAATATTGACGCCTCTATTCATAAAAACTACACTGTTAGTCACATTCTTTCAAATTGGGAATTTAATGTAAAAGAAAGAGACAATACATTAAAATAGCTAAAATATAGGTTTATGAGAGGTTTAATTTTTTTATGAATAAGGGGACTAGACTTAGATCAACAGTTTAGGCTATGCGAGGCAGGCTGAATTCTTTTTTCTCGCCTATAAAATAATACAAAATCAATTTTATTTTTCAGTGTTATATTGATCCTTAAATGTATTTTATAGACATCTGATGCTAAGACGGATTAAACAAAGATATATCCCAATATAGAGAGATTAGTTGACAACAGATGGCGCCTACAATATTGACTTAACCAAAGTTGAGGAGCAACGTCCTCAAAAACTTTATCTATTGCCTCAGCCTCAACCCCAGATGGTAATGTCCAAGCTGGAGCGTGTTTATCTTAAAACGACGAGATAAATACCTGGGGGTCTACCATGAAATGAAATTTCGAATTTTCGGGCTTAATTTCGGGTTTTTGTTCGTACCGAAATGGAGCTTAACATTTCGTTTGTCATAAATCGTACTATAAAAGTTGAAAGGAACGATATTTTAGCATTTTTAATATTTTTAAACGGTACGTATCATGTAATTTTAGCATCAAATTTTTGTTTCGTTCGGATCCGAAATTTCGGAAAAGATTTCATGGTAGGCCCTCTGTTTGTATCCAGTGCGTACGTCATGAACAACCATACACAGCGCAGTAACGTTGATTGACCGATAGTGTCCAAAAATAAGGCACTTTCAACCCTTTGGAATGTTGATCTAGTATACATACATCAATAAGTCATATTGTACAGCGCATTCGTTCACCCGTCTTGCAACCGGCGCCGGCGACGTCGACAAAGTTCATCGCTCAGTGCGCGATCGGCTGCGATCGCAGACGCATTGTCGCGTCATCTATTTGGATCGTACTCGCGAGCGCCGCGAATTAAACCAATACGAACAAAGGTGGTTGTTAGTTTAAATTAGAAATTAAAAGGGCGACATGGCCGGATATAGACTGGTAAGTTACTTTTGTATTTATTTTATAAATAGTGTGATACCAAACCTATTTATGGGACTTATAGGGAAGTTAATTATCTGATAATTGCTAAATATATTCATTACATTACTCTTCCCTTAAGTAGTAAGTTGTAATAAGAATTTAATAAAATAAATAGCTAAATAATCTCCACATTTTTAATTTCAACATTGTAAGTAGTAATGCATTAACTAGATATATTTATGATATCTCACATGTTGATTCTCCATTTAATGATTTATTACTTATCAGTATACAAGTTAATTACGTATAACAAGTTATCTAAATTATTTTAGTTAATGTCCGTGTTTTATTTCTATAGTATAATCAACTTACTACATAAACAGTCCTACAAAATGAGATATATATTAGGTATTAGAAATACATTTATAATCTGTATAAATAATGTAAGACATTCGCACTATGTAAATACCTATCTACTAATAAATCTTGGCTAACTTGTGATGATTTAAAAAAAAAACCGTTTAAGATTGGTGACACATAACATTCAACCATCAATAGCTTAGATCAATACGAAAGTTTATTGCCCCTAAACATTGCAGTTAGCGCAAGCTTTTCGCACCTCCGAACATAATTTGTGTTGCGTGTACGATGTGTGTAGGAACTTGTAGAAACTTAAAAAGTAGTAAGTACCAACCATACCTATTTATGGCGTAAATATGCAATTAGATACTGTAAACAAACAAGCATTCGACTACATTATCCGTAGACATTACCTAATATGAGTTTTCCTTGTCCATAATGAACAGTAGTGTGAAGAATTGTTTTTTTATTTACTCGCACACGCACGCACTACGTAGATGGATCTTCTGCATCATATTGGTAGAAGTCTACAAGGTAGATTTATCACTAAACTTCTCACAGCTGATTCGCCGATTCGTGTTCCTGAATTTCTGATAAAAAAACCATACAACCATCTTTTTGGACCTGTCACATATATACTAAAGTAAATTTGACAAATATATATAAATGTCCTTTCGGAGCGTACAATTTTCTCTATACTCTGGTAAAGTCAACTCTATTTGCTTTCTAGTCAGTTCCGCACCCAATCTCAGTCCTAATAATACGAGTACAGCAGGTCATATCCGCCTTCAATAAAATTCTACACTTCTTTGAATTACTTTTTTGGCGTTTTTGACTGATATCCTACAATATTCGTATCTCCTATTATAGCAGTCCTTTGCTTCTTAGGACACACGGGAAAGTAAAGTGTGGCCTATTCTATGCCGGGACTAAACGGTCAGAATAAAATTATAAGGGCACAAATCCAAATATTCTGTCAATTAATCGGTATTTTTTTACTATTGGAAATGAGCGTATATGTACCTGCTCTAATGTTTTTGAGAATTCCTAATTCTAGTTATCATTTTGATGTCACTAATAAAGTACCATTACCATACCCGTAGCCATTGAGAGGAAACCTACGCAGGGCCAGGAATTTAGTTCTGCGTGGGTTTGTCACTCGCTTTCCGCTCACCTCTACGTAACTACACATGCACTGACAGCTTTATGGCTTTACTTCCTGGGTGATCAAACCGACCAAGCAAGAGGTCAACATATGTGGAAACTTTCAATTATCTAGTATTTTTTAATGCCAAGAATTACAATGAAACTAATGTAAAGTTCTATTCGATACACATTAATTTATCTAAAGATACTATTGTACATCTGTAACTGAATACAATCATAGATAGATAGATAATTTATTTACATACCTTACAGCACACAAATTACAATAAAAAAAAAAACATACACATAATACACAGTAAAAGAGATAAAAGAATGAAAATAAAAAGCACAAATAAAAAAAAAAATATATAAACTAACTAACGATCAATGTCATACGCATAAATTATTTAACCGTTCAGACCCAAACATGATAAATGTAAATATTAATTTGTGGCAGATCTACGTAGTATGGTGGTACTTGTCCAGAAGAACTCCATAATACTCTACTCCACCTGATGGTATTTTTTTTATTTCGCTTGTGTCCGTATACGCTACTCGTACGCAATAAACAATAATTTTTTCCACAAAAAATGTTTGATTAAAAACTAAATTACTGAACCGATTTTGATATTTTTTATAGGATCAATTTTGAAAGCATATCCTTTCAGATAAAAAGTTATAAATAAAGAGTTATGAGGTAATAATAATCCTTTTTCGAAGTTGGTTGAAAATACAAAATCACTATTCGACCGTTATCATCTGTATATATTTTGTGCTGTTTATTATTTGACAATTATAAAACAATTTTTTAATAATTTTTGTTGCGAACATTTGTTTTTATTCCGTGTGTTCATCGCAATTAAACTCCTGAACGAACTTTAATAAAATTAGCTGAGTTATATGAAGTCTTTAAAAGTTTGTCGTGCATGGAATCATGGCCGTCATCGCTATAAATAAAGTAGTTAATATACTATTACTTACTATCCTATACATAGGTATTGTTCCTAAAAAAATACTTCCAATTGGTCATTATCATTAGGATTAACGCGACAATAAATAAATTCTATTGATTATAAAAAGAATCATGAAAACTTTCATGTATTTAACGTTTACGTATGTACATACGACTATTAAACATAAAAACACAGTTGAATGAAAAGGACTTTTTTGGATACCTACTTTGGAAAAAAAAATAATCAATCGTGCTTTTATTGGCCTTGGAAGTGCACCAGTATCCAATGTTTACAGGTTCGATTCCTGCACAATAAACTTAGTACCTACTCGTATTTGTAGGTGTATCGTACAGATGAGGTTTGTTTGTTAGTGTGGATGTTTTTTTTTTTAAATTTATAGCACATATGTATGTATTTAGAAAAAAGTATGTCAGTTGTCAAGGTTTCATATTAAAAGTATGGTTTTATACATACATATTACGAATATATCAGACGTTAACTGTCTAGTACTGAGCGTTTGGGGGGGTTTTGCCAGTTGTTATTCCGTTTTGCAGGCGAGTCGGCAACCGCAGCTAGCCTTTGGTGATGTTTTAAGACGCTGCTGCCCATCCCTTGAATATTAAGTTCCCTTAGTTGTCCCCACGGGACAGGTAGAGATTTGTTGGTACCGCGTGACTATTACCTACATAGTTTAAGTTTATATATGCCGTCTTATTAATAAAAATATCATATTCCTGGTCTAACTCGAGCTTACACTTGGTCTAGTTAATTTCAGACTAACCATGTAGTAACTTCGTTTTGACAGTATTATTAATAAACATGGAGTAGTAAATTATAACACGTCAAAACAACAAATTATAAAAAGTGCTTACATAACGACTGAAAACTAAATATGCGAGTATGCGACCGGACCATAAAATAACGGATCCTTTGAAGGTACACCCTTATTCTATCGCTAAACTACCTGGTGATTGGGTTTTACTGTAACGTTGGACTAGCTTACTCAATCGTTATTCCGTGTTTATTATTACAAAATTGGTTAATACCGCCTTGTTACTTGGAGTAAAAATTATCCGGCTTTACTCGTGTGTTATATAACTTAAGTGATGTCGCTCAGTATTTGCAAATAGCCAGATTAACTTATACGATTGTAGAGTACGATGTAGATAACATTTGTAATAAAGCATTTGTTTAAGCAAGCTGAGGTGCATTTACGTACATAATTAATTCCTTTACCTACTTACTAGGCACCTATATACTTAGATGGTATATGACTACAGACATATACATAGACAATGTAAGTGTAATGCTTATTGTCTATGTTACCGTTATTATCTAGAGCCACCCTACACACTACACACCCTGTCGTGACCACGACGTGGTGCAAGCCACGTCGAAATAAAGAAGCAGGTATGTGGATACTATTTACCTGTAAAATCTGATTATAGTAAATGATTTTACATCGTTTTAAATTCCTATTGAGTTTTTGAACTATGTGTAAACAATGCGAAAGTATAAAATTAACTAAAACCTGCTTAGTTTATGACTAGATAAAGCATAATTTAAAAACTACGCTATCATTAACAATCAATAAACCGCTAAAGTATATTAAAGTGACACATGATTGAAAAAATATTAAAGCTAATTGGAAACTACTCTTTGGCGATATCTATTTTACAATATAACAAGTTTAATGGAAAACCATTTAGCTATTTAATGTGATTGAGTAGTAAATATATAAACATCTTTATTAACTTTATTATAATATTATGTAATCGAGTGTACTTATATGGGGTTTGAAGATATTTGTGTTTGTAAAGGGTTCCCTTAGGTAACCCCTTACAAACACAAATTAGGTACCTATTCCTGCTAGGCTCGAATAAATAAAAATATTATACAACCGATCGCTAAACCTGCCACCGGATTTTGGTTCCGGTATTCATACTGAACGCTAGAGTCTGGATTGGTACGAAAAGCTAAAAACCGGATGTATCATTCTAGATAAAAAAAAAACTGTCGCGTATGTGTGAACTGTGATACTAAGAAGTGTATATAGTTACTCAGTATATAATTTATTATGCCCACATGCGCAACCTTACTGAGAGTAATCCGATTAATATAAAAAAAATAAATAAAATTAGGTTTCAATGGAAGCAGGTGAAGAAAAATAGTAGATGATGAGTTCAGAAAATTTTTAATACGTCCAATCAATTTCTAAACAAAGAACATCAAGAAAAATATTAAAATTATTTGTCATTGACAGAAAAATAAAAATAACGAAATATAAAGAGGTTTCACAACAGTTTTTTTTTTCTTAAAAGATATTTTTGAATTAAAATTAAATTTGAAATTGGTTAGTCGAAATTTTCGAAAAAATATTCACAGTTTAAATGCGTCCGCACTATTGCATCACCATTTTACCATTGAAGGATGACAGGTGAGGAAGAAAGCAGGTCCGTTGACTCATCGTGATGAATTCACCAGAAATTATTAATTCCCAGTGGGAACCGCGTAGAGGAAGACATGTCAAGGTACCTATAACACAAGGGTGGTCTTTTT